GCCGGCGCCCGGCGCGTCGTGCGCGCGGCGGTGGCGGCGCCAGGCGTGCTGTATGAGGCGCGCGCAGTATTCCTCGCGCTGGCGCCACAGCGTGGACGACACGGGCTCGTAGCCCACCTCGTCGGGCCGCCCCACCTCCAGGTCGCCGGGGTCCTCGATGGGGTTGCCTTTCCGCGCGAAGAAGTCTTTTGTGAGTGCATCGAGGATGTCGACGCAGAACATCATGTCGCCACGACATATCGGGATGTCCATAGATATAATCTTGTACTTGTTGGGCTTGTGGATCTGCAACGGCGGTTCCAACACGTCCAGGAAGTCTGACAGCTGATCGTAGCGAATGTACTGTGTGCCATCCGGGTCGAACCGCTGCCAGATCTCGTAATACATATCGTAATCGTCGTCCGTGAGACCCTCTTGAACGTCTTCTGTCGCCTATGTAACAATAATATAAAACATCACAATCGGTTCATCATCAGGATTTAAAAAGTTAGGACAAATAAAATATAAGTTACCTGTGAGTAATTCTCGAGAATGACGGCGATGTACATGTTAATAACAATGAGGAAAGAGATGACGAGGTAGGACAGCAAGTATGTGATGCCGATGGTGGCCGAGCCACAGTTGCCGGGGTACCCTCTCTCGTTGTCCGGCAGATCACACTCTTCCTCATTGATGATACCATCCAGTACACCGTCCCATCCGGCTGATGTAGACATCTGTAGAACATCATAAAATATATGTCTAAATGTGCATTACATTTAATTTAAATCACATTACTTATCAGTCAGTCAAGCAGCAAACATTAACGTACATAAAAAAATTGGATAACTAACCTGAAATAGCAGGATCATACTCTGCACGAAAGTCTTGAAGTTGTAGACGTCATCGAGACCTCCTTTGTCCTTGACGTGCATGAAGAATGACATGCCGAAGATGGCGAAGATGAACATGACAAGGAAGAGCAACAGACAGATGTTGAACAGGGCTGGCAGTGACATCGCCAACGCGAACAATAACGTCCTGATACCTTTCGCGCCCTTCACGAGACGCAACACACGACCCACCTTCGCCACTCTCACGACTCTCAGTAAAGTCGGAGATACAAAATATTTTTCTATAATATCACTCAATACCAAACCTGGAGACAAGAGTGACAAGTGATTAGCAAATATGAACTGGAGATAAAATGCTGTATTGATTAGACAGTGAATTGGATACTTACTAAGAATTGAGAAATTGACTACTACGAAATCGAATAAGTTCCAAGGCTCAACGAAGTAATGATAGCGTAAGGCGAACATTTTTAGTAGGCACTCTGAACTGAATATCACGATGAATATCATGTTGAGGTAGTCGAGCACTGTGCTGAAGGTCTCGGACTGCTGGTAGTGGTCCAGAGTCATCGTCAACATGTTCAGCCCGATGAACAACATGATGATCATGTCGAACTTCTTGTCCGTCACTATCTCGAACACGATGGCTTGTGGTCGCCACTGGAACAATCAATATTATGACAATTTAAATATTAAACTTGGTGAGACAAGTAAAGTAGGCGATTAAGAATTTAAGAAACTATCTATAGATATGATCTATCTTTGATGTATAAACTGACCTTGGGCCTCGGAATAGCTTTCAGCGGTTTCTTAGAACCCATTTTCTTCATGGCATTGTAGTATTTCTTCTGATCTTCAGTCATGAACATCTCGAGACTTCCACCAGCTTTCTTCTTTTGTTCGTTAAAGTTGTCAATGATCACACCGATGAATAGGTTGAGGGTGAAGAATGAGCCGAATATAATGAAGAATACAAAGTACAGGTACATGTAGATGTTCGTCTCTCTTATTGGTTGCCGTCCCACCTGCAAAACAGAAATAAAAATATTAAGCGATTTTGATAGTTTTTGTTATGGTGGTATGGTATACATATACTATGCCAAAAAGTTTTAAGCCATGTTGCTCTCACATAAGCCCTAGTAGCTACGTACCTCTCGTGAATCAATAGCATCGTTCATAATCTGTATCCATCCTTTGAAAGTGGCCACCTGGAAGAGGCACAGGTACGCCTTGCCCACGTGGTCGAAATTCATCGGCGAGTTTTCCCATGTGTAGTTCTCCAAGATGCACGCGTTCCGGTCCGGGATGATCTCGTGGCTTAGTGTTGTGTGGTTTAGATCCACGCACTGGAAATATTAAGAAAGGGATTTTAATAAGTTGCAGAAGATTTACCAAATTAAGGAAGAAAAAAATATTTTATAATACACTATACTGACCTTGAAATACTTTCCAGCGAAAAGCTGTACACCCATGATGGCAAAGATAAGCCAGAAGATAAGACAGACCAGTAACACGTTGAAGATGGACGGGATCGCCTGTACCAGCGCGTTTACCACCACCTGCCATATAACACACCGTTACTTACACTGCTCTAGGAGACCACATAAAACGACCATTCATTAGTCTGTGTGCAGTGTGTAGACACTGTCTTTTGTTTAATTGGCGTGCATTTGTTAGTTAGCATTACATCAGTCTTTAAGCTAGAACATTTTCATCGTTAGTAGCTACTGTGCAAGTCTATGTAGTTTGAATGTTGACTTGATTTACTTCTTACTTTGAGTGATCATGTATATGGAACTGGCTGATAATGATATTAGTTAGGTATCTACACAACATGAACATATTTACATTACATCGATACACCGAAGCACACCTGGAAGCAACATAAATATACTACACTACTCTTACCTTGCCCACTAAGTTAGCCATCCGCAATGAATGGAATTAGTAGTAATGCATGCGACTTGCCGCTCGTACGATGAAGATACAAGAAGAAAAAATCTAAGGTGCAGAATATAAATTAGCATTCCAAATTACTAAGTAATTACAAAACTCTAATCTAGCTAATAATAATAAGACCAATAGAAAAAGAGACCAAAACATGGATGAAATCTCTCCTAAAGTAAAACCCATTGAACCATTTCTAAAAGAGGTTTATGACGAACAGTGATGATACTAAGCCATTCAGGGGTGCCACCGACCACTTCAAAATGATTCACTAATTGTTATTTCGATAAATCGACTACTGCCAATGAGTTGGTAACAACTGTTCAAATTAACGATTTAAAACAAATTTAGATCTGGTGATTGATGCAGAAATATCGAAAAAGGAGCCGTACTCGAACATTGGAGAATTAATATGTTTTTAATGATCTTAGAAGTTGAAATAGAAATGTGAATGTGAAGTGTAGAGCGAAGTGTGTGGTAAATGGATGAGCGATAGGGTGTTCTCGCAGCACAGGGTGGTACGTACCCTCATGCCCTGCATGCGGCTCATGGCTCTGAGCGGGCGCAGTGCGCGCAGCGTTCTCATCGTTTTGAACGCCTGAATGCCGCCGGCGCCACAAAGCGCCGCTACGAAGTTTATAAGCGAGACCTGATGAAATCAAGGGTTGCATATTGAGACAATTTATATTTCAACATTTGATCGTACAAAGTTATTCAGAAGTCTACTGCTGCACCTAGAAAACAGACAATTACATAACAACAATAGATCCCACAACGTCAAACAGGACAATTCCAATTATGGCCGAAGACTCACAACCAAAGTTACAAACCTAGACTGGATTATCATTCGATGATGACGAAGACGAGATGACGCCAACTGCAGAATAACAGACAGGATAAATTGTGACGTATCACTCAATACACACATTTGTACATCGAAGTTTGAGGACGTCAGAGAAATAACGTGGGTTTTGAAACTAAGTAGACAACTTGAAACTTGTTATCTTCAAACTGGATTTATTTCTCTGATGTCCCAAAATAAAGCTACATCACAGGTTAAGAACAAATATAAAGGTATATGTATATAGGTATAAATATTTTGCTTATATTTGACATCGACAGCAGCCAAGACCATGTGCCATTTTCAGTTGAACCATGTTTCCTCAGTAAATTGAAAACATTTACAGATAAACTTTAAACTGTACTTGAAAACGGCACTGTCTCGTACGACAGCACAAAGATAGAAGTCGTGTTGGATCATGCACTTGAAAATATCAGGATTTCAAGTCACTCTGTGAAGGCCGATATATAGTTGGCCACAGGTAAAGTCAGGTAGCAGGGATCGTGGGTAGAGAGTCACATAGAAGCGGTTTCCATAAACAAACAGTACGACATCGAGAGCTCGAGGCAGCGAGGTGAGGCCGTTCGGAGTTTCCACTGCCATAGACATCGAACAATCAAAGCTGCACGCTTTGAGTTGCGCTGCACATGAATCGCGTCAAATTACATAAACTTTAATATAATAATCAACCTTTTAAATATTTTTTGTTAATAATCAGGTTAATAAAGCATTGATTCCAGATTTTTATTATTCATTTTATGTTCAGAGCGTTTTTGTTAGTAGATAATACTTTTGCTGTTAGTTGTGAGCAAGGTCACGGCGCTATGCTACACACAGGGCAACAATCAAGGAAAAGGAAAGAAATTTACCGTGAGAAAACGAATGACTGTAAAAACTTAAAACTAATTACCTAAGTATAATGTAACATCTTTAAGTACTCTTAGTACTGAAATTAACATCATGGAACCAGAAATGATTTGTACTGAAATGAGAGTCCAACAACCCGCGAACATTATTACATAAACAATACTTTTTTGTTGTTTTTTAATTGTTAAGTAAGACAAATAATAGTTTTACTCAATAGCAGGTAGGTACTTCTTGAAGTAATTCAAAAAAGTGTTAGTTATATTTTATTGGGTAGAATAGTTTCCTTTGTGTGTAGCACGGCGACGAGGACAGTTTATAATTAGTTAGTATGTTAGTTTGCGGATGTGCAGCGCAACGATTCCGGCGCAGTGCGCTACTCACGCGCATGCCCTCCCAGCGCGACACGGCGCGGAGCGGCCGCAGCGCGCGCAACGTGCGCATCGAGCGGAACGCCGGGATGTCGTCTGCACCCGCCATCACCGCGCCGTGGTTTACGAGCGACAACTAACGTCACACCAGGTCATTTATTTTAACATACGTCAAACTTACATCTACATTTATACTTAGTTTACTTTATCATATACTCGGTCTTCACACCACAGCACCTTGAGAAACTGTAGTGGCACAGAAGACCTTCATAAAACACATTATGACCAACCCGGACAAAACCATTATCTTTCGTTCTTTAGTTTAAACGTTGGTCAAATCCTTTGTTATGAATTCTTAGTAAACTAATCTGGAAAGAAACTATTAGTACGTCATATTTTATATAAGAAATAATATCAATTTGGTACATTACCATGACAATGATGAAGTCGAGCCAGCACCACGCGTTTGTGAAATATTTTTGGAAGCCAAGGGCAAGCCATTTGATCAACATCTCAATGAAGAATATGACGGTGAAGATTCGATCCATATAATATAAGATGTCCTGAAGGATGGGTCGATGTGGTAAGTTTACGTCTTCTAAAGCCTGGAAATGAAACAGATTTTCACGGTAAATATTATATAGTTAACGTTTTTAAAGTTAATATGAAAGCAACTATAGAAAATATATTCAACAAACTTACCAAAGCCAAACTACTGAGCAAAATCATTGTAATCACAGCCGTTTCAAAGTACGTGTTCTCAATGAGTTTGAAAGTCTTCAACCGTAGCATGCCCCAGCCTTGCCAGAAGGGAGACTCGTCGTCGCCAGCGAGGAATGGAAACTTCGCGTAGCACGGTTCTGGGCAGCAGTCAGCGGGACTGTCGTCAACGACTTCTTCGTCTGCTGCTACTATGATGTCTGTTTTGCCCAGACCTCCATCTAACTTCCCATCTTCTTCTTCTTCAACCATTTCTAGAAAAGAAAGTATCAATTTCAATTAGTAAATAGTTCTATCGCATATTATACAGTTGTTCTTTTGTCATGAAACTAACCTTCTTCTAATCCTAATTCTTCTTTACTGGCATCTTTCTTCTCTTCGCCATCTATCGTGTCGGCTGAACCTTTATGACTTTCATCCTTGAATGATCTGATTTTGTGACTGCCGTACGACTTTTGACTTATTGTGTCATCGTCCTAAAAAAGATATTTCGTTAGTAGGTTACACAGAAAATATATATATTTTGGTTACATGAAAGGGGTTGATTAATTATTTACCTGTATAGGGTACCCATGATGATTTAATTCACAATCTAACCGGTTGTCTCTATGATTATCTGTTATCGCATTTATATTATTTAACAAAATTTTTCCCTTTTTGTATTTATTGTCACCTGAAAGTACATGATTAGTATAGCGCAATGTATGAGTTACGAAATCAAATTGTATCAAATGTATGTTTGGAATGCTATAGTTACCTGGTATAGTGAATTCCATACCATCACCTATAGCTACTTCTACTTGGTCTTTTAGTTTCTTGTCTTTGTACAATACGGCGTCGTCCAGGTCTGTGCCGAGTTCCAGTTCGTTGTCGACTCGCTCTGAGGAGACACAGCGGCCACACAAAGCCGCCTTTAAGCCTACATGTCGCACGATGTGTCCACGGTGCGTTCACGGAGAGGCCACACGACGACCAAGCATAGAAATGAGACCAGGACGAATCGACTTAGTTAAATTCGTCAAAAAATTATATCACATACTGGTATTATTACGCATTTAAATCCTCTGTACAACATGGTTGGTGAACACAAGAATGAGCCAAGAATTTATTATGTAAATCTTCGTGCTGACATTAAAAGCTTAGAAACTTAATGTAAACAACAGATTTTTTGAATGACAATGGAATATACATTTTAACATACATAGTAATAAGGTAAAATATTGTTAAGACAACATCAAAGATGCAATTCACGGTTACAGAATAATGATAGGTAGATAATACAGGTACACATAAACGGATAACATTTACGTACAAACAGTAATCATGCATAAACACACAAAGCACACATGACAGGGACAGTAATAATGACGAGTCAGAAAGCGGTTGAGTAATTACCTAATTAATTGATAATTTAGCATTTCCTGGTAATTTTCCAAAAGAAACAAGTGGCACAAGTTGTTATAAGTCATCAGTTGCTATTCAGTTTTAATTTTAACGTTGCCCAACACTAGGATTTTCTCCTGTGTCGTGGGCGCGTTGACAAACATACAAGTTCACATAATATTATAAGAAATAATAATTTATGGAATCACACAAAGAGTTGCTCCATGCGGGAATCGAACTACACGTTGCGTGGCAGCCTGTTGCCCAGCCACCGGGCCAACCGTGCTGTTAGCTGCACGGTTGTCAGTTGATAGAATAACGTATCGAAAAATAACAAAAGACATTCTGTAACGGTTTCCCTTGTACGAATCATCTTATTTGATTTATCGTGAAAATCGTCTTTTTGATTGTTTCCGATTACCCAATGATGTAGTTTGAGTGATCGATTCTTCCACAAACATTTGTAATTATAGTTAATAATTTTTTAGAGAAATAGTTCTGGGTCACGTTATTGTAAGCGAATCAATATTTATTTATATTAAACGTTTTAATAAAATAAAATAAAACGTACAACGCCGATGCAAATGCTATTAACGCGGTAGATATTGGAACATTTATACATAGGGCAAAGTTAGAAAGGTAATCTCTTCGCCTATATGAATAAAGACAAAGTACAGTGACAAATGAACACAATAGTAATGAAAGGGACAGATACATAGATAGATAAAAAACAGAAAACTAACAGTAATACGAGGACTCAAACACACGACATTTATACAAAGGGTCTGCATTTCTACACTTGGATCGCTAAGGCGCAGGCAACGCACTGTGGCCACAAACACCAACACGCAATCCAAATATTTATTACATTCGATACACAAATCCATGCTATTCCATATTATAATTACACGTAAATCATGCTACAACACTAATTGGAATATTTAACGCAGTTATTTTTACATTTTGATATATTTCTTTGCTTGAATTATTCATGTTATTCGATTGATTGCAAAAATTATTAGTTATTTAGTTTTTGTTTTGACAAAAACATTGTGGTCGATTTTCTATCAACCACTGGAATGAATGTGAGTTTCTGACATTTACATTTTCGATTCGTTTTCAAGCATACTTACGTGTGAATATGACGGCAATCATTCTAATTATAGTAATATAAATATCAGAATCGTACTGATGTTAGAAAAGAAGGTAAAACTTTGGGTATTCATGGATTAGGATACATTTTTTTTTACAAAAGCGAGGACAATAAAGACTGTATACATATTTATCTACAATACAAAATACATAGAGGTATAACGACATGCCACAACATACTGGCAGGACACACATCTTACCGGGAGCGTGAATCGCAATCTGATTGGTCAATTTGTTCTTCAGTAGCTTCATTACGTCGGCTACGTTACGTTTCACCCAATCAATGAACCTCGATATTCTGTTGAAGGCCTCCGCTATTTTATTAGTATCCTGATCAGCGGTTGGTGTTGATAAACTCGATGAACCAAAATTGGACAGTAACAGGGCCAAGAAGAGGTTGAGTACCTGAAATATGATTTGTTTAGCCAATGTGTTGACTTGAAGTTTATGTTGGTATATTATTTTTTGGAGATACGTACCACAAGATTGCCAATGACGACTGTAGCCAGGAAGAATGGTATACAAGATACGTCTCCGACCAACATACAGTCCCACATACTCTCAATCCATTCTCCGCAGAGCACTCGGAATACAATCATGAAACTGTGCATGAAATCCGTGAAATTCCATCGCGGGAGGTCACCGTCCGGGAAACGGTCTACGTAATCTGTGCATACATACCAACACATTAGTATATCTATGATCAACAGCTAAGATTTGTCAAATTAATTATTACACATTTTGTTACAAAAATATCTCCTCTTTACTTATTATAAGCCTCGGACTCGTGTTCAGAACTAAGACATCTATGTGAAAGACAACCACAACACACCACGATACAATATAAATATCTAGATAATTATATGCGAATATTGTATAAATATTTGTAAATAAATACATAATATAAGTAAAGAGATATATTTTCTTATTCTGCTTTATAATATATCAATAGGTATATAAGCAATTTATTATTCACAAGCAATACAAATATCGCAGTATGCATAATCAAGACTTGAAATGGTAACATCTTTTTTCTTTTATTTGCAAATTAGCCCAACAAATATAAATCGTATACTTGATAGGAATACTGCGATTTACAAAGCTCATTTAAATAGTGCAATTGGCTATATTGTGTTCTAATAGACGATAATTGGTCTAAAATTCTGTGATGCTCCTAAAGCTAGCTACGTCATGCGGTTCACTATGCCATGAGCCTAGAGTATCAAGCTTTATAACATCAACCACATACTTACTATAGTAACGGCATGCCATTAAATAGTACTATAGAGTATTAGAGACAAATGTAGCGCTAACGGAAGGCATAGTAAACGTAAAAATTGAGAATGTTTAAAGAAAATTATGTATAAAGGAAACGAGAAGTGGCTAGCGTACTGTCTCACAAGTGAGGCGCCTTTTCCATGGGGCTTTTACAAAGAGCTGTACAAATCTTTAAGGGCTGTCTAACTTGGAAGGGGACACATCGAATCTTACCAATTGTCTAATGAGCACAACAGTGTGACGCACATAAACACAATATTCACTATTCAAACAGCGACGGCGCGCCCCTGTTAAAGTGTGGACTCAGGGAAGTAATTTAGACCAGGGCCGCTTAGGATCTGTTAGCAGTGTATGTTTCGTATCGTGAATTCTTTTGTTAATGGTGTTTTAACTTGATCTATGTTATGTTCTTTGTTCTATCGGATTGAATACTGTACGATGAAAATTTTGTGACTAGGTATAGAAGTGTGCAATCATGAACATTTTTAATTTGGTTTAATGTTTGAAAAGAATCTGTGCATTGACATTCCATCCTCTTCCATTTGCTTCAACTGAAGAATTTATTGTTGTGCTAACATTCCTGAGAGTCTTTCATAGACTGTTTCAAAGTAATTTTGTCATGATAGTTTCATCCACGCTTTAACAGATTATGTCACGCGAAATATACTTCAACAGTTGTGTCCGCGATTATTGTATCATTCAGAGTAAATTGCTAACAGTTCATTGAAACAGAACATAATAGTGACTGAAAACGAGCGTTCGGCTTAGACTGTAATTTAAATGTTTTCGTAATATAATGGACTCTATGAACGACCAGCGATTGTAATGTAGCTGTTGAAATATATCAGTAGCGGTACAGGGCACGGCGCCGCGGCATACCAACAGTCAACATCTCCAATCAAACACCAATGTACATGCAACACTCCCACCAATTACACTTACCCACGTAATTTTTCCCGAATAGTTGCATACCCATCACCGCAAATATGAAAATAATGATGCACAATACGAAGGTCAGGTTGCCCAAGGCACCCATTGTCCTACCCATTATGGAGATGAGTAAATTAAGTGTCGGCCATGACTTTGCCAATTTGAATACTCGAAGCTGCAATTACAAATTGTGATACAAGGCGTCACACAAGCTCGCTTACCGGCGCTTCACCTATGCTACTGCGGAACCCTTCCACGACCCTCAATCACTCACTGTGTCTGGCGAGCAGTGCGTGTGTGAGTGATTGGGGGCCCAACGTTAGCAAATGTGTGCTCAGTACCTATCGATGTGCACAGACTTATCTCTGTATGAGTGGGATTTATGTTAGTTGTAAAAGTGAGAGCTTTTGGATCGATAACATTTTGATCAACTTCCATTTGTCTAGGTTCTAATTCAGTGCTTGTCTCTGTAACGACATAGATCCCATCAGTAGTCGACCTGATGCATCAAAGTACCCTTCGTAAGCGAAGCTGCAAGTCAAATCTATGTTACTCGATGCAAAGCTTAAATAATTATGATCTGAAGCTGCGTGGCATAGCTTTATAACGTGGCTCGTCTCAGGCTCGCCTGCGTTTCCGAGCCACATTCCGTGTTATAAAGCCACAGCGAGGACCATCAGTCCTTCATGAAAATAATGTTGAATCAAGCCCAGTGTAAAGATTTCTTTGTGTGAAGCTGAATAATTAATAATGAAGCTTAATTCATTAATTAGAGATGCTAAATTTTCTTTTAAATTAGAACCTGTGTAGTTCTTGCCAAACAACTGCATCCCCATCACCGCAAATATGAATATAATGATGCAAAGTACAAAGGTCAAGTTCCCTAAAGCTCCCACCGTCCTACCCATTATGGATATTATTAGGTTTAGCGCCGGCCAAGACTTGGCCAGTTTAAATACACGTAGCTGAAAATATTTCACCACATTTATACATAACTTGGATTAACATTAGTAACAGTCTTATTAGTACGAATGACAGTGAAGTTGGTAAAGGTGACTAAATTAACGATGATTTAAAAGAAAATATATAACATAATAGTTACTAATATCAAGCATGAATAAAATATGTAGCAAATGAATACCTCCAAATAAGGGTAAAAGAAGAGACACTTGAAATTAAAGATGGCAGATGAATGGATTCGGACGATGACATTTTGTTAGTAACAGATAGTATAAACAAACAGTAAGAGTAATACATACCAAACGAAAGGAACGCAACACTGACAAACCCTGAACACCTTCCAATCCCAACTCCAACAGTGATAAGGCCACAATAATAAAGTCAAATATGTTCCATCCTTCTTGGAAGTAGAACTTTGGGCTCATAGCTACTAATTTCAACATGGCTTCTATTCCGAATGTAGCAGTGAAAAACTGAAAACAAACGCACAATTAGAAATTGTCCTTCTATAGAACTAGACACGTTCTTAGGTTCTTCTTTTGTAAACGAATGCTCGTGAAATATTAGTGTGATACTCACATAGTTGCCACTTTTGAGCGCCTTCTCCATGTCTTTGTCCATGTCGTGGTGGTCGAGCGCCATGAACAGCGTATTGACTACGATACAAAGGGTGATGAACAACTCCACGAACGGATCGAACACCAACAGAGCCACGTACTTCTGAAACTCCAGCCACAACCAACAGCAGTCCCACACACAGAAGAAGTCTATTGCCTTCATCACGCACTCCAAGAGCTTCTCCTTGAACGTGGGCCCATCCTCATCGTCTTCCGCTGTTGGGAAGTAGTACACTGACACTGTTGCGTCCCGTTTACCACCAGTGTGCGTGTGTGTGTGTTAGAGAGAGAGAGAAACAATTTTTGTTAGTATTCGCTCATTATTTCTTTATCATAACAATCAAATTTGATTCCAATAAAAGACTGTTGAATTTAGATTGTGTTTGACTTGTTTCTTCGCTAATTTATTCTTTTATTGGAACTTACAGTCTTACAATCTAGATACCAATATCCATATTTTTTGTTTTGCTGGCTGTCATTTATCTACACAATGATGTAAGGGTTGCGCAAATTCGTGGCACTTGGTGCTGTTTGGAGATACTCTACAAGAATATCAGTCACACCACGGTGCCAGGTAACCTCGTGCAAATCAAACTCAAACATTACTAGCGGTGAAATACTCGGATACTCTCGAATGCTTTCAAGCATATTTCGCTTAACTACTTGAAATGCTCATGGATGATAATTGAGCTCATCTGTTCAATTTTGACTCCCGCAGACCAAAAAATATGAATATCGTGACTATCCATAGAGAGTGATTAAAGCAAAACACTGTAGCTTTTTGCATGATATTTACAATTTAATTATATATTAATTTTTTGCATGACATCTTAGGTCATGGTTATATTAGACTCTAGTACAAATAAACAAAATCTAGCGAAACACGTGCAATCACAGTGCATGCAAGGAGGGACGTCATTGCCTCCAGTGGGTGCATAATGCGAACGTAAAAGTGCAAAAAGCGACTAAATTACATTGGACATGAATACGACAACAGTGTAACACATGTTAGTGTAATCAACATTGTAGGATAATGTATGTAGGCAAAGTAGGATGTAGAGGCAACTACTGTTCAATACGTGTGTGGCCAGTCGAAGAAAAACTTCAATATATAAATCTGTTCTGATTATTTCCACGTTCAGTATGTTTCGGATCACTGTGCTACACAACCATTTTACTTCAAACTGTGCAGCTTTTTCTTCAACTAAGTGCGTGCGAGTGCAATATTTATTCTATGCCTTGGCTCATCGCCTATAAATGACATCCACAAATGGTCTCATTTTGCCAATTATGCTTTTTTGTTGCATAATGAGCAAATACCTGTCAAGTGTGATCTGTTAGTGTTCGTGTGGGTTTAGTTCGTATTTTGTTTAATTAACTGTAGGTTTATTAAGCAAGTTAGACATCGAACGTTGATAAAATAAATGGTAATAAAGAGAGCGACTTTGGCATTAAGATTAGTGTGTGGTGTATTGTCGTACCGTTCTGATCGCTTGCTCGACTCTGGCGGCCGGCTTGCTCGATGATTTCATTCAATACCATTACATCTGTAACATTTCAGGCAACACAATAAGAAATTAGACTAAATACTCTTTGACCTTGAAACAATTTAAAGTGGGAAGTTAATCAATTATTCTGAAATAAACCTTATTAGAAGAAGTTACAGGTAATAATTAATTGCCTTATCTTTTAGATATTGTATTATACCTCTCATGTCCACTACGTTTGGTTGTTGCGAAGATTCAATGAAGGGATTGTCTGTCGATGGTTTTAATACTTTCCCAGCTTCGTCTGTACATTCAGTCGTGCTCATTTCCTGAAACAATTCCAGTAATTAGTATCCAGATATTACTTGACGATATGCTTACGGTTGATTAGGACAAGATATTCAAGCTTTATCAGTTTAAGTACTTGGAGTTAAGTCTCTTCTCCAAGAACAAGAAAGAAGATAGAACAGATCTTTCTTAACAGTGGGATAATTATAGGCTGATTATAATGAATGTGGTTGAAACAACAGAACTTTACTTACATATTCTCTAAGTGGCCTGGACGCTAACGAGAAGTCCTGGCCGGGCAGTGGGTAGGCGTGTGGTTGTGACGTCACGCTGTGGTTTCTCGACGCTGAGCGGTTCCTAAGGCGCGCCTCCTTGGTCTGCGCCTTACCACCGCCCAGCAGGTCGCCATGCGACGTGTACGACAACCGCGACTGATGCGACGTGTATGATGAGTGACGAGATCCTGGAGTATGACATAGTAGGTGACGGGTTAGTTGATAAATATTTAACGAGTGAGTTAAACAGCATTCAAAAGGTAAAAAATTAAGGTTTTCTTCACTTAAAAGTGATGATTCGTTTTGTATTACCAATCAATTTAAATACACATAAGTAAGGGCTTCGGTTTGCCTCGAAGTTAAGCGGGCATTACACAAAAAATGCAGCTTACCTAAATTAGCGTAGTAAACTGGAATAATGATAGCACCGTTCTCTTCAGACATGGGGGTGACGGCGTTGGAGTCGTCAGCGTAAGGCAGGTGTTCCTGAGCGTCCAGGTACGTGGACAGCACCAGCGGCTTGCGGTCCGCACCCGGTGGATACCGCGACCGCCCGTTCGGCCGCAGCGCCATCTGGTGCGAGCCCCGAGACCCTCGACGCAAATTGAACGGCGAGCCAGGCAGTGATAACGAAGCCTGTGCCCATACCGACAATTCAAAACACTGACACACATTCACAATAACAATACATCATCATAATTCAATTTATTACATTTCAACTTTCTCTTTATAATATATTTCAATTATCATTTTAAGTATAAATTTCATTTTCATTTACATATTTTTCCTCAATTCAGATCGAGTAGCTTTAATTCATGAAAACTATGACGTTGTTCACCATAACAAACTATTGAACCACTATATCATGGATTCTATTTCAAACTCTATTTGAACCGGCTGCAGAGGCTTTGATTTTATGTTTTTGATTGAAGTAAGAACTCCTAAATGTAACTGTTATGTCAATGATTTATTTACTTTCATGTGCTGATAAACAATAGCAAGAAAAATAAAGATAGAGGAGATAGAAAAGATAAAGAATAATGAAGATAAAGTAAATGTTTGGTGCAAATAATGCTCTATTTGGTTAATTAAAGGGCGAAAATAAGATTGTAGTCTGAATACAAATTTAAATAATATGAATAATTGCAAAAGAAAGTGGAAGATACGGGTTACCACTAACAGTAAGAGGTTGAAGAGCTAAATAGAGAAAATAAAAGTGGATGTAATCCTATTGTACAGGAAGAGGTAGGGGAGCACAAACACCAATGAGGATTGAGGACAAACCTGTGAGCCCTCGCGCAGTGGCCCATATGGTAACTGGCTGATTTTATTTATGCGTTCAGGGTGGGGGACCTTCAATACACAAACAAAATTTCGAGTTTATTACATTTAAAGAACTTATTACGATCAAATATCTAGCATCCAACAAATAGGATAAAAGGACGGAGAAATAGGCTATGTCATATTACACATATTACGAACAAAAACAAACCAAATGGCATACATTTAAAACTGAACATACAGCTTAGAAGCGAGACTCGTGAGAGATACAAAATTACTCTGTGCCACGAGATTCCAGTCGAGGTCTACGGGTAATGTGACACTAGCTTTCATGAAAGTATAAATAAAATGCCTAAGAATATTACAAATATTTACAATAAGAATTTTCCTTTCAGGCTTGCATCCATGAAGAAAGAGTATAAGGATGGAAAACAAAAGTAAGGATGCTGTATAAAACTCTTATTGTAGAACAAAATACGAAAAGAAGTAGCAATGATATAAATGAGTGAAAGCAATAGTTAGTCAATTAACTTTGTTTATAAACACATGAAGTATTGTGGGGGTTCACATGCATATTTGCATACGACTATTTCATAGTCCTATCGTAGCTATTTACTTCATTTAATCTACATCTATAGTCATGACGACTGTTCCTTTGTTCGTCCAAATATTGAAGCCTCCGCATGTCGCTAATCGAAATTGAGGAATTAAATGTTACTTCAATATTAATGTAAGTTTTATGTTTAATTAATATATTTTGACTGAACCTACCTCTTCATCGTCGATACGTTCAGTTCGCCCGCCCGGTCGTTAACACTCACATTGCAAAAGAAACAATCTACCATGACAATAGACTCATTCGCTCCAATATTATTTCTTATCGTTCCTAGCTTACTCAAGTCTTGTACAAAGTACAGAACTTCGTTGCTGATATTAATTAACTCATCCCATTTATTTTATTTTATAGTATGTGGTGAAACTGGAAAGTATTGTTACATCTACTAAGAAATATTATTGGAGATCAACTGTAGAACTAAAGTGAACTACAGTGCATCATTCAATGAGCAAATATGCAACTTCTAGGAACCATGCTAACATTCATATTGTTTCCACAATAAATTATATTTAACGAAATTATTATTGGTTACAATAATGAAATAAAATAACATTTCAAATCAAATGTTTTTCGTGCTGCTAACAAATGTATTAAAACATAAAATAATGATCTAATTGAGGAAATATGTAATGTATCATCTAGTTTTGTTTTTTTTTTCAAAGCATCTATCTGTGCTGTACAGTCGTGGTGTTGTCGAGGCCTAATGTGTGGTTTCGTATCGAACCAATGAAAATACGTTTGAATGATTTTAGGAGCACAGATAAATGTTAAAACACAATGTTACAGACACATCAAACTGAGAATAGAGGGAACAAGACAGATCATGTAACTAATACGCATGCTTCAAGACAAAAGATCTGATAATGGTAGAGGATCATGTAGCTTTACAGTACAAAGATAAAAATAGTCACTGCAAATATTTAGATGGAAGAAAGAAGTTTGTAGAAAATCTAATAGGACAAATCTAGACATTTAGTTTCATCTGGATATTTGCACTAGCGTTCAAATAATAGAGGACATCACCGGCAAAAATAAAATGTTGGAAGCTTAGCGTAAAACACAGAATAATAAATGGTTCTTTTCAACTTGAGTAACTGGGAGTGCTGAATGATGATGACAGTGACAAGAGTGGAATTAAACCTTCCGTCCGAGAAGATAAAGTCTATTTGCATTTAAGCAGCGTGTTAGTCTTAGAATCAAGTTGAAAAGATACTGCTCGACTGACAATAATTCATTTCTTCAATACACAGTTGTAAACTTAAACATAATGAATTTCACATTATTAATTCAGAAAGTAAGTAAATTAAGTTTCATTAAATAAATATTTAGAGCTTCGAGGGTTAAGTAAATAGAATAGAACGCGACTGATATAAAAAATGTATATTGATGTTCTAATGTTGCCGCGAGTACAACAAACGAAGGTCGCGGTCAATGACAGCAGATGTTAAACATAGTTATTGAGTCGCTAGATACATTAATATAAGGGTCGCGGGAACCATTGTCAGCGAGTGGGAGAGTGAGGCGGCGCATACTCACCATGCTGACCTTCCTGGGGCGGCGTGCGTCGTGGTGCGGGTCGGTGGCGGTGGGCTTGTGCGTGGGCTGAGTGCTCACCGAGTCCTGGAAGGGGTCGCTACGGAGGGACATGCGCTCGCGCGTATTGTCGTCCTGGTTGCCGCGCTCCTGGTTCACGAACAGCTCGTAGCTCTGACACGAAAAGTCGCTGGGGGACTTGGCAGGGTGCGCCTCAGCGTAAGCCGCCGCCTGCGCCGCCGCCGCCGCCTCCCGCGCATGAGCCTCGCGTGCTTCCGCCTTGTCTGCTCGCGCTGCCGCTTTTTGCTCTGCTTCCTGTCGTAGCCGACCAGTATCGTCATGTTAGCAATTACGAGGAACATCGAAGTATATATTTTATAACCTTTCATTTGAAATGGAAACTCTAAACAGTTATCTTCATATATTCTTCTAGAAATTACGCTAATGGGTTCTGTATTTACCCTTAGAGCTTCCTCTTCGGCCTGTTCCTCTTCTTCAGCTTTCTTCTGCAACTCGTCGTATGACATGGCGACGATGGCCAAGATCAAGTTGACGAGATAGAAGGAGCCCAAGAAGATGATCACTACGAAGAACAGCACGTGCCATGATCCCGCTGACCGCAATACCTACAAACATTGACTTGTCATTAGATAGTATAGATAAGTCCAATATCTTTAAACTATGAAATTTTGTAAAAAATATAATAATTATCATAGGACGTTGTACTGAAATTAGAAATGAATTACAAAACTTTATGTGAATTCATCATAAAAGGTTTAACAACATAAATTATCCTTGATGTTTCGAAATGAAAATGTTATTAGGCATAAGTATAAATTACATAAAATGACGTCATTAGGATTTTGGAAAAGTCCCATGTGAAATACCTATACGTTTCAACATTCGATTTCAATCACCATGTCCAACGAACCACTTACCAACTGATAGAGGTTCTCCCAATAATCCTGTGTCATAAGTCTGAAGGCTGAGAGGAACGCCCACCCGAAGGTGTCGAAGCTCGTGTATCCGTAGTTGGGGTTCGGACCGTAGCCTTGCAGACAGACATATCCGGGTTCACATTGACTGGAAACGGTATATATTATTAGAACGTTGACAAAAAGGGTTTCTTAGGTATGTTACGGTATTGTTGTTTATTTTTGTTTGACTTGGAACAGTGATGGGTAGAGGGTAGAAGAGAGTTTGTAGTCGAGTCCTTTGTTCATTGCATTACATTGATATTGTATTCAACCTGGGGAACAATATCAGTAGTTTTACAATTTTTATCATAATCCTTCTTACCCAGCTCCTGATGAATTTCCACAAAGTGGATATTCCCCTCCATCCCCATACCAATTGGCTGAAATAAAAACGAAAATGATTAAATACATATCTAACTTATAAGTTACTCAAACTAAAATATCTTTGTCTCCAAAATATTCTGAATGCGACTTTATTTCTTTTAAGATAGAATTGCTTTCTGGTAAAAAAATGGTCTTACTCTCATTCTGGCAAAACCTCTCCCAGTTCTCATCGGTGAGGTTCCCCCAGGAGCCGTCTTCTGGGAACACTTTTATACATTTTTGCGTTAACACTCCCATGTAAATCTGTAGGCCCATGAGCGCGAACACAGATAGTGAAAACATCGTCAGAATTATCACATCTCTCAGATTCTTCACTGACTCTATGACGGCGCCCACGATAGTCTTCAAACCTGTTCGACAAAACCTCCTTTCATATTACAACTTCTTATTTATCTACCTAATTGAAAACTACAAAAAACCTTTAGTAAACCTCAAATCACTAGTTAATTTTGCTGTTAAAACAAGTGAAACACGAAATATCTTAAGTGTTTTTAACGGTATTCGTTGTTATATATTTCACTTCTAAGAAAAAGTAATCTAATTAATTATCTAAGGTCTAATTAGATACATTTAGAATCTACATAAAAAGAAGTACTACATAATTAACATCTAGATTAAAATGGAAAAATAGGTCTGACTATAAAATAGTGTAAAATATATTTTTGAAATGATGGGACTGTTATAGTTACAGACTTGATTGTCTCATAGTCATTCTGGTTATCTCATATATAACTTACATATATATGAGTTTGGTTAATTTTACTCTATTTTTGTTAGACGTGTAATGTTTACCCGGAATGATGGCCACAGTCTTCAGCGCTCGGAGTACCCTGAACGTTCTGAGAGCGGCCAAGTTGCCGAGATCTATGCCCATCGTCACATAACTGGAAACAGACACCCACAAAAACAACATCTACGTTAATATACATCACTACAACACTACTCACAAATACTCTAAGTAAATAACTCATTGTTCCTATGAATGTATTCATTAAACAGGAAACATTTTGTTCTTTATGTCTTCAATTATTTACTACAGTTAAATCTGTTATTCGTCTGTAATATCTTCGTAATTTTTTTTCTCTATATCAATACAAAATTTTCTATTAAAAAACTATAAAATGACACATCAATATATACCGATATATAATCTACAATTCAACGATTTTAACATTCTACATAATTCAATAAAATTGTCTACTACTCACGCTAAAGCTATAACTACGAAGTCAAGCCAATTCCATGCATCTCTAAGGTATGTGAATGGCTGAAGTATGAAACCCCGTGCCATTACTTTCACCGCTGATTCAAACGTGTAGATCCCGGTAAAGATAACTCTGGAAAAATTCACCTCCACTGAGGAATGCCACTCGTAAAATAATAAAACATTTCTATAAAATGGAGAGTATCAAAGTTAGCATCTCAACTTGTACGAGATGGTAAGTAAATGTATGAACAAAATATTTATTCTAATTATATATGTACGTACAGTAATATAATCTATATGTATAATAAATGTGAGTAATTATATATCTAAGTTCGATAAAGTATATGTAGTAATAAAATATATGTGATATGTACAAATAATGACTGTAGTAAATAGTTTAGTGTACAATTACTGATTTGATTAATGGAATTATTGATTTTAGTTTGTAATGAGTCTGAAAGTCACACATGTCTTTCGTTAATTTGATGTAAAATTAAAAAAATGGTGTCTAGTTATATTTAGTACAAATTATGCACATGAATTTTGGTCGTTACAGCCAGGGAAAGTTAATATAATATTCTAAACGCCTGCCTAAAGCGATTTAGGATAACTATGTATAAAATATACATGTTTTATTGTATTAATAATGTTTTCCAATAATTTACTATAAACAATGTCTAATATAATTTACGTCCGTTTATCTAAATATCGATTATATCAATTGGAAAACTAGTTGAAACTAACAATTTTGAAACTAGCGTGCACTCTACTTATTCTAGAACCTAATAAAGGATATGTTCTCTCGTCCGGTGGTATTTCAAAATTGTAAATTGAAATTCGTAATCGAATTAATCTAACTTAGATGTTGAAAAAAGGAATGATAATAGAAGTTATACTCACTCTGTACTTTCGACTGTCGGGGTCGTAGGCATTATCATAAGAATACAGTTCACTAAAATTGTCGTAATGATAAACAACGAGAACAAAGGATGTACTAGAATGTATATCGCAACTCTTCTTATTGGGTTGAAAGGGTCTAATATCCACAGGGCGTTGGTTGCCGAAAATCTGAAGATATCTTTACCCTTGCTTATAACTACGAATGTCTGAAACAAATAATAAATTGCTTAGTATAAAGTATTCGACTGATTTGTAAAAACTAGATTTGTGTAGCGGTACCAATTTTTATAGTTATTCTAACTTCTATATATATAAAAAAAAAGAAGCCGTGATAATTACATTATTATTTAATATTTTTATATCAAATAGGAGGCATACGAGCAGACAGATCACTTGATGGTAAGCGATCAGCGCCGCCCATGGACACCCATTTATAACTCAAGAAATAGAAATCTAGCCTGATTTCCCGAAAATCTTACGAAGAAAATCGGGTTTGCGTGTACAAAGTCGCGGGGAAAACCTATTGTTTAATTATTTTTCATACTAAAGAAACCAAAGTATTTTAGAAGTATCTATAGATATTTCCTATCATAATTCGTTATTGATTACAAACAAGGTTAAAGCTAATAATGTTTTATTAGTAATCTATTAATTGGTAAGTAATTACTTCTAAGAAAAGCTGGTTTCGGTGGATCCTAATTTAGAAATCTAAATTATATTTCTGAGAAGAAAATTTCATCGGCGATCCATTCTTGTAAGTCTTCTATCTACCTATATATTATATATCTATATAAGTATATACATATATGTAGTTATAAGTTACATTATTATTTACTTTAACAATTACATATAGGTACTGGCAATATTTTTCTTCAATGTTTGTAATTCATTGTTGGTAAAAACCCATACTAAAATTTTTGCAAACACGACTGCTAAATATGTGATATAATATTGATATTGAATGCGAAACTTGTGATGGGGAAGGTTCACATACACATGACACCCAGACCCGGAAAAACTATTTATGGATCACACAAATATATATATTAACGTATACGTATTTAATTAGGCAGCTATATATAATACTTATATAATTTTATATATTGCTTTTATATATTTTATATATAGCTATAATTTTAGTAAGTACTTGTTGAGTAATTTAAGTTAAAAAATTGTTATCGCACTTATTGTTCACTCACTCTAATCTCTTAAACAAGATAATTTTTGCATTCGGTAGTCATCATTTCAAGAATATAAATGTAGATAACATTTGAGAAGTCACGTTTAACACACGTATGACTGTTGCAGCAATATCGCATTGCTATCAGCGTGTCGTAGAGTGCTGGGGCAGGACTTTGACTCTCTTTAAATCTGCAGGTAAAACGTACATTATAAAGTTTACTATCTCATGTAGATAGATAGACAAATAATGCAGTAATAAAGGAGGAAAAGAGTTTTAGTATATGAATTAGTTTTGTATCCAAATATGTAAAGTAGAAGAAGTAAAATCTATTTTTTTACGATATAAGCCGGTGAACCAGACAGATCACCTGATAATAAGCAATCCGCGCCGCTCATGGACACCTGAAAGACCAAGGTGTTACAAATGCGTACCCGGCCTTTTGGAAATTGGGAATTTGAGGATTGTGGAGAATTCGGCGATTGGGGAGACTGGGGAGAGGAAGTAATTGGGTTTCCGGTAACCTCACTCGGCACTCCACGACAAAACATAACATTGTTTCACGTCGGTTTTCTGTGAGGCCGTGATATCACTCCGGTTGAGCCCGCCAATTAGTACCGAAGCTTGGCTCTCGCAATAAAAACGGGAAATCTATATGGGAACACAACCTTTTTAATACAGTTGTAAGTGATAACGTTGAGCGCTCAATTTGTGTACCCACTTTATATGTGCCTATAGCAATTTAAACACGTGAATCTGGTCTTCTTCCGAGACCAACTTGTACAAAATGTTAAATTTATATTCTCTTAAAAATGACTTTTTGTCGTAATGAGAATAAATGGTAATGACTGCCTTGTTGGACGAGTGGTCGCAAATGTGACTGCCGGGCAAGGGGTCTCGGGTTCGATTCCCAGGTCGGGCAAACTATTACCTACTGGGTTTTTAAGAAAAGTAGTACGGGGTCTGGAAATATACCCGGTACATGGGTAAGTAGTAGTAAGCTCACCCCCTATTACATGGATCTCATAACATAAAATAGTGGTAAATGGGTGTTACATTGTACAGTGTCATTAATTAAATGCCGTAATGTAAATGTAAATGCCGTAAATAAAACCTCTGCCTATCTCTGCGGGGATAAAAGGCGTGATGTTATGTTAAAAAACAAAAACATTGATAATGTTTCATGTTGTTTAATTACATTGATAAATAAAGCAGATAGTTGTAGATACATATGAAAGTCAGTTATTTAAGTTTTTGCTTGTCATGCAAACTTTGCCGTTTTTATGCATATATAAAAATGGAATAGGAGGCAAACGAGCAAATGGATCACCTGATGGTAAGCAATTAGACACTCACAGCACCAGAGGAATCTCATTCACCTATCCCTGAATTTTTAAGATATGACAATAGAAACGGAACGGCTAAAATAAGAAGCTGTTCTTTTTACTTATACTGCTTTTACCTATCCTTACTTGCTTATTATTTCAACGATTATTTGTTTACACTTATAATCCAGCGCAACTTCAGGAGGGACCAATGTATGGTCGTGTAGTCGCCATAATTCGTACATACACATTATATAATTTAAAGCCAACAACAGGTAAAGTAGCGGGTAATAAGTAGTCAGTAAAGATAAAAAAAAAACTAAATATCGTTATCACTATGATTCATCGACAATCAAAGACTTATTAAATGATTTATTACAGGGCATTGCTTACGTACTAAGATACAAATTGAGATAGTAAAAATTATCAAAAGTAATTTTGATTACATTATCTACCGGTCCAGTCTTGCATTTTATCATATATTGTTTGTGTGTATATAATTAAGAATACGTGTGTCATTTTTATAGGGGTTTTCACTATTAATATAATAATAGTACATATATAATTCAAAAGTCTCTCCCCTATTACATGGGACTCATAACATGAATAGTGAAAAGAGGGTGTCATATTGTACAGTGGCATTAAGTGCCGTAATCTGCACCTCTGCCTACCCCTTCCAGGGATAAAAGGCGTGATCTTATGTTACGTAGTTCTATAAATATTTTATCAAATTTAAATGATTTTAACTGATACTTGTACTTGTAATGGCCAGTGACGCTTAATATTTTGTTTCAGCAACACTTTTATTAATTTTATTTAAGTAACACTATATAATGAATCTATTTAACGAAAATACTAATATGTAATGTTGTTTGTATCATTATTTGTTAGTAAATCACACAAGAAGTATTGAAAAAAATGGCACTACTCTCTTCGGTAAAACGGCACCAAATAATTCAACCAAATGTTATTGTGAATTTTAAGTTACTACATCAATTTTTACCCGAACGTAATAACTCATATTTCCCTGTAACAATAATGATATAATACAACTATTTAACTAACTAATATTTTGTAGTCAAAAGCTTACACAAAACCCTTCGAACTCTCCAAACCCACAATTCAGTATTTGCGGGAAAATATTATTCAGCGCGTTAGTTTAAAAAAATAAACAAACTTTGCTTTTGATAATTCTACGTTTTAAATTATGAATGACGCAAATACATAAATACCTAATTTTGTTATCATTGTCACCATTATCAGTTTCACTAAACATCAATCTCGGATGACTGTTCAGAATTTTGCAAATTATCGATAATTACTTAACCTAACAAGCCACACACCCGGGTCCACTTGCACTATCGATACATTTAAATGCAAACAGACTTGTTTACAATGATATAAGAGTTGGTTACGTAATATAACAAAATATAGGTAGTATGTCTGTGTGCTTCTTAAATTTAAACGCCAGGACAAAATGTAATAATGTACTATTAGTACCTAATTGTTTTAAAGTAAAACTATAAATATAAATAAATAAATAATTGAATCTAGACACAGGACTAAATTAAAGTCTAGTAGGTAGGTATCCCGATACGGAGCCGCGGAAGGCCTAACGGGTTACCAGGGCTCCGGCTCGACGAGCATGAGTAGGACCTGGGTGGTTTTTAGTCAGTAAGAGTCTGACACTCCCTCTCGCCTAATCCAAAGTGGGAGAAGTAATTGGATGATTTTCCCCCCTTAAAAAAAGTATGTAGGTATATGAGAAGTTGCAGTAGAATTTAATATGTTACAAAAATAATCTGATGTCACATTGAATCCTTATTTGACATTCCGTCGAAGAACGAACACGGACACAGTTTATATAGGTAGTGGAAAATAAATACATCACGTGGTTTCAACGAGTTTTTGTTGGACATTAAGGTATTGTTACACTGAGACATGCTCTTAAAAGCGGTTTTTATATTTGATGGGCTGACGTTTGGCTACTATCTTGCCTGGGTGGTACTGATAAGCGATGCGGCCTACGATCGATGGAGCACGATATGAGTCTGATTATTGAGTATGAGCAGTTTCCATTCGCTAGTAATTAGTTTTAAGTATAACCTCTTTAGATGCGCTTAAAGTACATCTCCTTCCACCCGCACCGCAGGTAGCCTGCTCAAAAATCGGACGCCTGCCGAATCGCAAGCATGCCCGAAATGAGCATGCTAATTTTGAGGAACATTCCGATAAACATACCACTGAGAAGCAAGTACTCAATTGAAGCATTCTATCGTGCTTGAAATGAGCAGATGTAACAGTACCTTTACATTTACATTTATTGCCCTGTCATTCTGATTTAGCAAAATTCTGAAGTGGTCATTATTTTTAAACTGATAACCGGTTGCTAGTAGCATAGGAACGTGATATCTATAAAAATGACCGACTAATAATGACTTGCTTTAAAAACGTAAATAAACCTCCGCATTATGGGTGTTTAATAATCTTGCTGATAAGTGTGCATTACGTGTTTTGTTATATAAATTATATAATTACGTATGTTTATTGTATAGTAATCTGTATTTTGGCACAATCCAGTTTGATGCGGTTTACAGTAGTATTAAGCAAGTATTGACATTACAATTTAACTCATAATATATCGAATAATTGGTTTGGTACCGCTCACTTCTAGTTGTTACCGTGTAGGTATTGAAGATATACTTACTCTTTGGTTGTGATAGAAGGGGTCGATGTCCTCGAGGGGTATGGAGGACACCTCCGCCGGAAAGGAGCCCTGCATTCGCACCGGCAGCGGCAGGCCCTGCTCCAGGGTCGCGTCCGGCTGAGGACCTTCGTCCTCGTCCTCGTCATCGTAACGCACCTAAGTCGACACAATTACAGCATTACAATACCATCAAGCATCATACGAATCAACTACAAAGGGGCCAACGGCAGATCCAAAGAACACAGCCTATCAACGCTCTTGAAACATTAAAGGCGCTATTGCAAAGAATGCTAAAGTACTCTTTTTTGTTTCAAAGTCGACATAATGCTCCCGAGCTTTAGATAATGTCTGTCGTTCAAGAAAGAAAATAACACTCAGCTTATTTACATAGGAATATGAAATACGGAGCAATGACCTGAGGATCTGCGTTTGGCAAATACACCAAACTTCTATTCATTCGTTAATGAGCCACCCAGTTACCGTGTCCGTCTAGTTTACTTTGTAATATTTACTTACGCTTGGTCATTGTGCCAGTCCAATGACAGAGAGTCAAGCTAGCCTACAGTAAGCCTAGTGTTACAGACCATAATATCATGAGCTGAGTAATGCGTATGTCCTCGTAACAATACTGTTGGCCGCTCACACAACTAGTATTATTACAGAGTCAGTTACTGGGCCAGCATGTCTGTGAAGGCGTTCCAAGCTAGTTTTATCTTGTGTAGTGCTGCTGTCTGTGTGACTATGATGCGTATCTGGCATAACTAAAAGCATTTCAGTTTAACATTCCAACTATTATGTTACCATTCCGAATGTACGAACTATTTATTCCGAATACTTCGGCTGTGTATAACATTAGGGCAATATGTATCAGACTGACTATGACGTCTATTCGAAAACGGTCCCAGAATAGGAGGCGTGACTAGCGCAAGCCCAAAATGTTACAAAATACGATCCATAACCAACAAAATTTGATATTTATCAGAATTATTGTTAATTGTTTACACTATTATGCACTAAACGCTAGCTAGGTGATGCCACCATGATAGACCTAGATGACGGCAGTCGATGATGAAGTGACGAACATGAGCCAGTCCTGTGCAATGCTTGAAATGGTATGTTATGTGCTGGTGTACTTTGATCGCTAACGGTTATAACATCTGGAGATCCTACCATTTACATGTTACTGTTATATTATAAGGGGACTCTCAAATCGATTTATTCCTATTGAAAGTTATTTTGGTCTAAAAGGGCATTGACTACGTAAATTCAATCATCAATTAATTCTAGTACCGGGTTCAAGGTTGGCTAGTGGTTCTGCTATATCTAAACAGGGAAATCACGTGTTTCCGTCAGTTACTATAAGGAAGGGTACTCATTTTTATGAAAGGTGGGTCTAAGTACTATCGTTTTGGTTATTGCATTTCTTTCTTTATATTTCTTTCTATCTTTATGTTTTTCCTTCAGTCAAACTAGGAGTTATATACTTCATCGAAATGCAAATAAACATGACAAGCTTTCATTGTATCTACATTAAGATTAGCTGTTACGATTTCTTGAAACTATTTCATTGTATTCAATGGAGCAACAGCTAAACTTGTCAACACAGTTTTTACAGATAGTTTGCCAACAAGCGATGTGTTAAGGATAATGCTTTAAATGCGGTCATATGCATAAATCGGAATGCACTACAAGTTATCGCACTTGAACAAATGTGTCGCCAATGTTTGTGGGAGCTTGCAATATCGTTCATTCAAAGAAATTTCGTTTGTGAAAGCGATAACTTGCTGAAAAGTTTTCTCTAAAAAAACGAGCCGTAAAAATGTAAAAGGGGCAAGCAAGCATTCTTACTTCTTTTTTCTTTTTCGTCCGCCCCAAATCGTTCTGGAATAATTTAAAAATTATTCGTCAGAGTTTTAGCTTCCGTCTGTCCGTAGCTAATCTGTGTGTGCCACACGATTGTTGTAACAGTGATGTCTTTGTGTGCTAACTAACATTATATCACTCGTGTACTTGTTCAACGTTTGTAAATATTCTAACAGTTTTACAGTGTTTATCTTTTTGATATTTTAGTTTTTTTCGGCACTCGACACACGTGTGTTGTGTAGTGAGTGACGCAGTGTACTCACCTCGCCTTCCGCTCGTTTTTTCTCGAGTTCCTTTTGTTTAGCATGCTCCTCAGCTATGCGGGCTTCGATAGCGGCCAGTGACTCTCTTGTGAAGGGTCGGAACAAGCTTCGTTCTTCCTCGCTGATCGAGTCCAAGTCCTCGGACATTGTCTATCGAACTCCCCCCGAGTGAACTGCCTACTGTATTGGAAAGAAATTATATTAAAAATTGTTCATCAGAAAATTTTGGGCTAAGAGGATTTTCTTTTTGCGTTTGTCCCGGGTTTGTATCCAGTAGAGTTATAATATGAATAGGATTCATAACATAACCATTTAAAATATTGTAGGTAATAAAAGCGTGATGCTCTTATATGTATGAAATTATTATCCACAAAAGCTTATCGAAATTATACAAAGTAACGATTTACGATAGTTGGCGTCAATCCAAAACAATAACCAAGCAAGTTGAAGTGACCTTATTTTCTTTTGTAAGCTGTTAGCCTTGATAGCATTCGGTACAAAGAAGATACGTATTCATGTTCTATAAGATTAATATCACTTTCAGAATACGTGTTTTAGTAAAAATAACATAATTTGTTACTAAATGTAAAATAGTTTTGTCTTCTGCGAGTATATTAGACACTGTCGTATCTATCCCGGAGCAGGCAAAGTATTACTGGATTTTTTAAAATTCTCAGTGGTAGCACGGAGTCTGGAATTGTACCCGGTATATGGCAATAGGCTCACCCCCTATTACATGGGGCTCATAACATAAATTAGTGAAACGTGGGTGTTACATTGTACAGTGGTATTAAGTGCCATAAATCCATAATCTTATGGTGTTATGTTATGTCGTATCTACATAGATTTTTAAGTTAGCTTACAATCTCAATAAGCTAAAGAAATCATACTTCACCATGAACCCTTTGTAGCATAATTAGTCAAACGTTATATTAACGTTGTGCAAATATGGAGAAAAACATACAGATAACATAAATAATTTTACCATACCAAAGAAAACAACAATATAAAAGCAGGTATACCCTGTTTTCTCCGGTCAAAAATCTCTGAATAACATGAAAGTAAGCAGCTAAGCTAACTGCAGGGCGATTACAAGATTATACTCATAGTAAGGAGGCGTAAATGATTTATACAAATTATAAAGAGGATGAAATGCGGTTATATTAACTATATAATTTCCCTTACAGCGCCTCTGGGGCTCTACAAGACGGTGTTTGTGCCTTACCGAACCAGGCCAAGGCCACCATTTATATTGTACGTTAGAACCTTACTTTCATAGGGCATTTTATTTATTCCCTTTCTTTATCGCTTTGGGATAGCTTATATAAGATTAATATTTGTACAAATAATAATTTATTGGCTAGTTTACGGGTTGTGTAATCAGAACTAGTTCGTTAGTTTCATTTTCATATTGATCTTTGATTCGATAGTTTGTACGACCTACTCGTGTGTGAATAATTATTATATTATCATTTAATTCAATATGATACTTCCACGTTCACATTGTATTTTATGAAACACTGAAAATTGAGACTAAGATAAATTCACATAACGACTAATTTACACTGACTGTGGCTACGAACAAACAGTTATTAAAAAAACCAATGTATTAGAATATACCTTATTCCCATGTTTTTGTACTCTGTGTCTATTACAAACATGTTCAACGTAACTTGAACGTATGAAATGAGAACGTACAAACGCTTTATAATCTTGACTTCTGAGTACATATCTATGAACAGGATGATAAATCTCTTTTTTAGGTAAATTCTTCGAAAATATTCCAGAATATCACACAGACCTATATCTTTGAAGAGTAGATAATCCAGTCATTTCTTCGACATGTACGCAATGCGGGACGGCCGACGGGAAATTATATCTTTCCCGCAGTGCGTATTCGTAGTGACATCTCCACTTATTTCTTTTGTTCCAAATTCGGTTTCAAAGTGTCAAACACTTTGACAGAAGGAAGCACTAATTCTTAGTTCTTAGTTCAATTTATACATGCTCAGAGTATCCAATACTCTAAATAAACATGTAAACAATACTTGTAAGTGTGTATTAATTCTTTACATTTACCTTTAGAGCTCATTTAGCCTGAAGTCTTAGACAGAAAGTGCCCAAATGAGTCGAGGTGCTTGCGCTAAACCCTGAATAATTGCCTAACCCTATTGATAACCGTATAAAAATCATATTAAAAGTATTTGAGTAATACATACCTTCATTTTGTGTGAATAAAATATTAAAATAAGTGATCTAGTGTCCAATATATAAGTAAAACATGTTTAAGTACCTGCTAACAGTGAATGGGCGGGTGTGTGTGGTGCGGGAAACGCGTGCGGCTACACGCTCCACGCCCGCGTTCTCCCGCCGACCACCTACGGGCGGACCGCCCTTCTGCGGAACAAGACAAACATTATCTTTACTATACTTTGAAATCAAAATATAAATAATATTTTGGGGTCGCGGCGATGTCGCGCAGCCTACTCAGAACTCCTCTGTGGTTCGAAACCAGTAGAGCTTCTATCAGTATATTCATGTGAGTAACCCGCGATTTTTTAGTTAATTTAGTATGGCTCACGAACTATCGTGAGACACGTTATATTGTAATAACTATATTATAGAAAATAATATTGTGGTTTTGTTGTAGTAGCACAGAGTCTGGAATTGTGCCCGGCATATAGCAATAGGCTGACCCCCTATTACATGGGACTTATAAACACTGGCGTTAAGTGTGATGTTATGTATGAGATTCAAGTGCTTTGGAAAGAAATTATTCACTTTGAAAACTTTACATAGGAAAAAACTTTACAAAACTTTACTTTATATAGGAATCGTAATAATTGGCATTCCGTAGTCTCTGCCTACCCCCATGGGAGACAGGCGTGATGTATGTATGTATGTAAAACTTTATATATTCAAAGAACACTTATAGAATAATCCTACTTCACAGAAATATGTAATACATTTATTACGTAATCTGCCACTTAGGAGGGTCTGATGTCTATAGAGTACCCACTGAGTATCATCCAAGGCTGTATTAATAAATCATATAAAACTGTCCCGATACCGGTCACTGACACTGGGCTTTAAATCATAGTATTATACTTTAATAATTTTTTCTTGGATTTAAATAATTTTGCATAATTTAAAGTTGGTTATTAATGTGGTTATTGATTTATTTCAGGTGTCGTGGGCTCATACACCCATATATATATATGTATATATTTTTTATTATATAATGTTATGTATATTATAATAAAGTTATGGCTATTGTCGTTTTTAATCATGGCAAAAACTGATGAACAGTCCTCTTATGCTAATAGTGGCAGGATCTACCAGGTCAGTTCTATATTTAATAAAGTTTAAATGTTAGGGTGTAAGAGATTATATATATTTAGCGGTTGTAAATGGTCGTATATTGTAAAGATATCGATTATTAATTAATATGAAATACGTACTTAATAAGAATAAATAAGATTTTAGTTCAATAAACGACGAAACTTATTACAACGTTTGGGATCCGAAGACCTGGATGCTTCCTCTTGAAACCAATCTCAATATCAATGCAATTTCAATCCAATATAATCTCAATAATTATTCAATGTCAAAACTATACAACCACAATCGCAGCTGTTAATATAGCATTTAGAGTACGGGATATAAAGCCAAACTCAATACCATTTAGTTCAATCAACATCCACGCAATACGGATGCAATGGGCGCTAGTGTTGCAACTCAATAGTACGAAATTTCGCAATACCAATGTCGATCGATCGGAATTGGATTCAAGAGTAAGCCTCCTGCTAAGCAGAATGGCCGACAAAAAGAATAGTCTTTCAAGAGAATCTAATACCTCGGGCTGCGCGCCCCTCAAAGAGCCATCAGACCACCACAGATGGGGCCCAATAGGGCCGATGCCGAATCGGGGTCGCGGAGAACCTAAAGGGTAACCGGGGCTACGGCTCGACGTGCAGGAGAAGGAACGGGGTGGTTTTTAGTCAGTAAGAGTGACACTCCCTCCCGCCTCACCCAGGCGGGAGCAGACATTCGATGATTTTCCCCTCTTAAAAAAAAATACCTCGGGCTATAGGTATAAAATTTAAAGTACACTGCGAGGAATTCTAAATAAGGATACCAAAAACAGTACCCCCCCGTAGATTGTAGCGTAATTCCTTAACTCCTCTCGAACTATATTAGTGAGATTAGCAATTCTAAGTGGTTTTCAATTAGAATTGTTAATACCTCGACTGTTTTTGCTTTCATTAAATTAAATACTGCAACAGTTGGACGTATGTACATCTTGTTTAGCTTTCATGTAATTTTAATATGTCTGTAGTTTATGAACATACATTCGATATAAGTCAAAGTCAAAATCATTTATTTCAAAGGCATTTTTGAACGTCAAAGTTAAGTTTCGTTTAGATGGAAAAGCTTTGAGTCGTCAAAACCAATACAGATTGATATTAATTTAGTCTGTCCTGCTTGAATTTTCACCTTAGCACACCTATGTGCTGTGCTGTGTATGTAGATGTAATACCTTTATTACAGTGTGTTTTTCTTATTTATTCTCTTGGGATATTTAAGGGCAATAAACAGGTGAATGAGTTTTAATGTGCCCTTTTAGAAGAATTTATAGAGCTTCACTAATAAGTTTTTTTTTGGGGTGGGAAAATCATCCAATGACTTCTCCCGCCTTGGGTTAGGCGAGAGGGAGTGTCAGACTTTTACTGACTAAAAACCACCCCGTTTCTACTCCTGCTCTTCGAGCCGGAGCCCCGGCAACCCGTCAGGCCTTCCGCGGCTCCGTATCGAGCATCAGCCCTATTGGGCCCCATATGTGGTGGCCGGTGGCTCTTTAAGGCGCGCGCGGAACGCAACGCGCCGTACGCACGGGTCTAGTTCTGGTCGGGCGGCGAGTTACCCTTGCTCACCGTCAGTAGACCCGCAGCTTGACTTATAAGTTGGATTATAATTCCATGGTACAAACAAAGAATTAGACATGATTGATTAGTTTAAAAAATACACGCAATATTAGTAGGATTCTCACGTTGCAAGTTCTATACATTATTTTAGACAGTGAACATAAATTTATTCTAACAACTAAGTTTGGTTATAGAATAACATAAGAACTTTATCATTGCGCACGTGTATAGAATGATCAATGGTCAGGTCATTGTAGTCAGTAACTACTTATGTTTTGTATGGCAAATCTAAGACTACCACGTTGCTAACTCAAGGTTATTTTTAACCGACTTCCCAAAAAGGAGGAGGTTATAAATTCGGCTGTATGTTTTTTTTTTCTTTGAGTGTATGTTACCCAATTAGTCCTGCGTTTGTGGACGGATTTTTAAGATTCTTTTTTTATTGGAAAGGTCATACTCTCGAGATGGTCCCATTTCCACCAGGTCAGGTGATCTGAGTACCAAGCACGAATAACTATCGCAATCGTAACGTAATAGTATCGAGTGCGTTCGGCGCTCTGATTGGCCGGCTCGAGTGAACCAACCAATCAGAACGCTTACTTCGCTCGATACTGTTACGATACGAATGCGATAGTTATTCGTGCTTGGCCCTCTGATGATGGGATCTCATGGAAATCGAGATGAACCGACTTCTTAACTATCAGTGGGTGGGTAACCTATTAGTACGTATGACTAATAATAGTTATTTTTTGCTTTTTCTTTTTTTACCTTTTGCTTGTTTTTAGGTTTTGGTTTTTATAAGACTAACTTTAAACAAAAACGTTAATATAGGTAATGATGTCCTGACATATTTTTGTACTATGTAGTTATGCTGGTATAACAACTTATAATGCAGTATGTTTTCAACCAGTATTGTTTTTAATTTAAGGATCAGTTTCATAAAATCTGATTCAAGTTTGTGTTAACCTAAATGACGGATAATAATTTGATGTATTTTTTATATGCAATATGCCTATAGCATTAGGAATGATAACGAGGTATGAAAAATAAAATCTATTCAGTCCGTCAGTTAAATAATTAAAAAATATTAGACACGTATTTTTTATTTTGTCGTATAAGAAAACAATACTTAGATAAAATGAATAAAAGTTTAGGAATACAAATCAGAATACTCAATAATACTTAATAATTTTGTCCATGCCACAAATCGTAATGAAACGTAAGTTAAATGCTATGAACCTAATAGCGTTTGGGATAGGCCGTGACTGTTAAACCAATCCCGGGATTATTCTTCTCCAAATATTATTGGACTTATCAATTTGGAAATGTCACTATTAATGCGGTGTTTGATATTGTGATCAGTTAATGGCTACTGGGTTTATGATTTCTCAATATTATAGCTACTTGCTTGACCACTGACAACATAAGATTAGTTTAAATACTTGGATTGCTTTTTTTTACTTTTTTCAGTTCCTGGAGGTACTGTCCTGTTACTACTAAAAACCTTTTTACCTGCCCTTTTACAGTGCGTTCGAGCCTTAACCCAGACAACGACCTAACGTTTTAACCTAGTTTTATGTCAGGTGTTTAACATATTGTAGGTACTTGATATAGGTATGTACATACACGTTATTTTAATTTAAAAAATCAAAGGTGCAAAGATGCTACTCGTCGAGCTGAATAACAAGTTTATTATGACCTCACTTTGTATGATCTTTTAGCACGTTCAACGGTCAATTTATACTGGTTTTGTGTAGGTTGATAAGTAGCCATATATTGCTATATAAATATTTTAAAATGAATTGTATGACTGACCTGTCGTCCGCGAGAGCAGTGTGACCGCGGCTACTAGAGAGATGAAAGTTACCACTCGATCGCTGATAGGGACAGCCAGCAAATGGGCAAGATTTTTCATGACCGACCTGTAACAAGAAATATGCAAGTTATAGAATATTGTATAGTTTTTTAGTTGTGCGAAAAAAAATGCGATAAAAATTGTGTTTGAAATTAACATTGTTCACTTTTTTTTATGGTAACAGCGGCAAACGAACAGACGGGTGACGATGGTAAGCAATCGGTGCCGCCCATGAACAGTCGCAATACTAGGTGCAAGGGCATTGCCGGCCTTTTTTTAAGGGTAAGGAATTCAAATTTATTTTTAACCGACTTTCCAAAAAGGAGGAGGTTATCAATTCGGCTGTATGTTTTTTTTGAGGACTTTAATTGTCATTGTATGTAAATTTGATGTTCAAATATGTAATTACCGTATATAGTGCAATGCCTAGGGGTGTGTGTAGGTCTAGAGGGCGCGCGGGATGGTGGCCGCCTCGCCCGCTGGCCGCGCGCGCTCCTCTCTCCAGTTTTGGCGCGCGCGCAACATCTGCGTCAGCCCTCAGCCGCGTCTGTACAACAAGGATAAATATTTTAATTATGATGAAAAATACAAAGTAAAGCTTAAAGTTACTTCTGTTACCTTTCGTATAATATTAGTTCATAAATATAAAAGAAGATCTTATATTTAAGGAATTAGCATCTCAAAAGAAATTTATTTTGTCAAACAAACAATCAACCGCTGCATTAGTGTGTCACCTAAATTAGTATTTTTAAAATGTAAAAGTTGTTTTTAAACAGGAACAATAATTTTTTAATTCTTCTAACAGCAATATGACATTATTTATTTTACCCTACATGTAGATACTATGTTAGTTGATTAATTTCAAAATTTTGTATATTTGAAACAATAAATATCCTCACAGTACCTTCTCAATTCATATAAGAAAATATTTAGTACCTACGTAACAAAAAACCTACCTCTAATTATTTGAAAAAAAAAACGATCGGCATAATAATTCTAATAATAAGGCCCGCCGGGCACCTTGGGGCGAGGTGACGGGCATTAGCAACCTCGCGGGCTACCATCATCCCGAGTGCTCCAGGGAGAAGTCACCGTTCCTTATTCTCGGGCTTGCCTTAATTGACTGGCTAGAGTGAACGATTACAAGGAACAGGTCTCCCACCTCTGGTTTGCCTTCATTGGCCGTCCAGAGTGAAGTGACGAGAGCAGTGATCCTGCTCGGAGGGTAAGAAACTATATTTGTAAGTCGCGAGTGGGCCAGGGATGCAGGAGGCTTCGGCTGGAGCAAATGATCTGAGTAGAAAGTTCCCGGGGCCCGGTCGGTGAGTTGGCGTTTACATTGTTTCAGCAGGTACCGTAGTCATCAATAGTAAAGACATTAATAACAATAATTTTACGAAGGCCGCAATTCCGACTGTCCAAAGTACTGAAATTCTTCATGGGATTATGTGTGTTGAATGTTGTAATAAATTACCAAGTAATACATTGAATCTTAAAAAAAAACTTGTTTAAAGCGCGAACTATGTAAAAAAGCGTTCCACAAACTGTCAGATTATATTGAAGACTAGGTTCTGCCAGCGGTTTCGCCCGCGTTCCCAGGAGTAAAAAATAACTTATACGTTACTTCAGACCTCAGTCTACCTCTGTTCCACATTTCATCCCGGTCCCTTCAGCCGTTTTAATGTGACTGAGTAACAAACATACACATGAATACACAAATATCAGTTCAAGCTAATTTCAACCATCGGTCCTACAGTATTACGGGCGTAAAGTCCACTGTGGGCAACCTAACATTCGACAAACTTCATCAGCTCTAAATTGGGCCCCATCTGTGATGGTCTGACGGCTCTTTGAGGCGCGCGTGGAACAAGATGCGCCGTACGCTCGGGTCTGGTTCTGGTCGGGTGGCATGATAGTCATGCTCGACGTCCGCAGGCCCGTGCTTACGGTGGCTGGAGATCATCTCGCGATCCTCGACACCCGGAATGTTCTTTGCGACTTTGCTGAGTTGTGAGGAGGTTGCGGATCTTTGCCTCGCGCGCTTCCTCCTTAGTGCCTATGCACTGGAAGGCTTATAAGTGCGTTGCAGGCCTTACATTCATCCATTCAACAGCTAAATAAGCTCTTGTAAATTTTAACATACCCTTAAGCTAAGATAGGTGACATTTAACAACTGCTTGGCTTTCACCTACCTCTAAGTGACACCTACACCTACTTACTTGTATTGTTACAAGTACCTAAGGGGTTCGTTTAGGAGCTACGCGCCGCTAAGTAACTTTTACTAGTCAGAACATGCTTGTAACAAACGGTCATAAGTATTGCAAACTATTTATAGGTAAAATTCCTATACATTAGTATGGGTAATAATTTATACTGAATTTGATATAATAAAGGGCAATAACCGGTTATCTTAGTGTCAATTTTATGTCAACAATTTGTAAAATAACTGTTCATTATGTTTCACATTGTTCTAATAACCGCTAACGATAAACAACTTAAAATATTCGTTTATGTTAATTTGAACTGTACATACATAATATTCAATGTTTATTTTTAGAAAAAGTCAAGGTAAACATAACAGCCTAGTCGTAGTTTAAAAAAAATATACTCTATAGATAGGTAGATAGGTTAACGCGAATTATTTGTGAATAGAGTAAGTATGTATGCAGATTAAGGAAAAAATAACCGAATATTAAACAAAAATAAGGTATTGTAATTTTAACTGTATATTAGATGTGGTAAAGGTAACCTATAGTTACTTCACTTAAAAACATATGTATTTATTAGTTTATGCTCATGACTTCGTGCTCTTGAAATTTTTAAGCAAGTCCTATTTCTATACCGAACTTCATCGTAATAAATTCAGCAGTGTAACCAAACATAACAGACAGAAGTACTTGTTTAACCGGCTTCAAAAGTATCTTTCTTGTTTAGGATAAGGATACTTAGAAAATTACGCTTCAGGGCCTAAATATAGAAGGCAGTGAGCAGAAGGGGAAATTACTGTTGACAACATTGTAACAACATGTAATCAAATGTATGTATACCTATAGTTTGGGACACATAGGTCTAACTAATTAGGTATAGGTACTCACACGCCTTTTATAGGGCCACCTATGAAAAGAGGTAATCATAAAATAATAGTATAATGAATACTTAAACCACACAAACAGACAATAGGAACGGTTCGCATTATGACGTGACGTATCTTGTATAAAACAAGTGGTTAAGTAACAGTTCTATGCATATCACAGAACCCACAGATTGTGCAAAGAACTCCTCAAAATGTTGCTGTTATATCTCCCGATAGTGCTGACATTTTTCATATACATATTGTATTTGTACTTCACAAGGACTTTTAAGTACTGGAAAAGCAGAAAAGTTCGCGGGCCAGAACCAACCGTGTTCTTTGGTAACATCAAGGAATCAGCTCTTCGCCAAAAAAATATTGGCGTGATAATGCAAGAAATCTACAATAACTATCCCAACGAAAAAGTTGTCGGTGTTTACAGAATGACTTCTCCTTGTCTTCTTATACGAGACTTGGATATCGTTAAACATATCATGATCAAGGATTTCGAAGTGTTCGGTGATCGCGGCGTTGAATTCAGCAAGAAAGGACTGGGACAAAACTTGTTCCATGCTGATGGAGATACATGGACAGCTTTGAGGAATCGGTTTAGTCCAATTTTTACAACGGGTAAATTAAAAAATATGTTTTATTTAATGAACGAAGGCGCTAATAATTTTGTGGAGCATATCAGCACGGAATGCCAAAAGAAGCAAGAGTTTGAAATACATTCTCTTCTCCAAACGTACACAGTGTCTACTATATCTGCTTGTGCTTTCGGAGTTGGCTACGACAGTCTAGATGACAAGTTGGAGACGCTTAAACTCGTGGATCAGATAATTTCAGCACCAACATACGCTAATGAATTAGACATGATGTACCCAGGACTTCTCACATCCCTCAATCTTTCTATTATTCCGGTACCTATACAGAAATTTTTCAAAAATCTTGTCGATAACATCATATCTCAAAGGAATGGTAAGCCATCGGGAAGAAATGATTTTATGGACCTAATACTAGAACTTCGTGAAATGAGAGAAGTCAATTATACAAAATATGGAAATTTTGTGAAGCCTCTAGAAATTACTCCTGAGGTGATGGCAGCGCAAGCTTTTGTATTTTATGTGGCTGGGTATGAGACAAGTGCAACCACTATGGCCTACCTGATGTACCAACTAGCGCTGAATCAAGATATCCAAAACAGGTTGATAGCTGAAATTGACGAAGTAATTCAAAGGAATACTGGAGAAGTGACATACGACATGATTAAGGAAATGAAATATTTGAACAAAGTATTTGATGAGACTCTACGAATGTACTCAATTGTAGAACCACTGCAAAGAAAAGCCACAAGAGACTACCAAGTGCCTGGGACTGACCTGGTAATAGAAAAGGGTACAATAGTTTTGATATCCCCGAGAGGAATTCACTATGATGAGAAATATTACGACAATCCCGACGTATTCAACCCTGACAGATTTGACCCGGAAGAGGTAGGCAAGCGCCATCCGTGTGCTTACTTACCTTTTGGACTCGGACAAAGAAACTGCGTTGGTAAGTTTAACATACAAATTATCTTTAGGTATTCATTAGGTATAGTATAGGTAAAAAGCACGTAAATTTGTGAGTTGTAGACGTCGGTACCTACGTAATATTTTGTTTATCTCTAAATGAAAATCTTTTTTATTTTCAGGCATGCGATTTGGCAGACTTCAGTCTCAGTTATGCATTGTAAAGGTCTTGTCCAAGTTCCGCGTGGAACCGTCGAAGAATACAGACAGGAATTTAAAGGTTACTCCACACCGAGCTATCATTGGACCAAAAGGAGGGATCCATCTTAATATTATTCCTAGAAAAATCAAAGCTTAGGGTAAAGATTGTAGTCTAAAAAATCTACTGAAATATACGTAGATGTATGTACAGTACAATTAATTATGTTAGACTTATAACTTAAAACAAGTTCGTTAAACTGTATAGTTTATTTAAATGGTTCATTTTAACCTCGTAATATCCTTGAGATTCTTTTTAAATGATACTAAAAGTAAGTTTACCAATTTTAAGGTGGATGCCTAGATAGACCTCGCCATACATTTTTCAGGTGTGGAAATCTCCGTAAATAAACAGTTTCTGTAGAATGAGAGCAATTCTAATGAGACTTTATAATGTTATGTTCGCGTATGGCCCAAATTCTATTTTATTATATTTGCACAAAAGACTGTTCATGTTCGAAATGAATTTTATTTGTAAATAAATATTTTTAGCATAGTATTAGGAAAAATCATGTTGTAACATATTGATAGCCGATGCTCCGACTGAAAATAAATAAATGAGTTTACATTATTGGATACTAGCTTTTACCGCCGGCTTCGCTCGCGTCACAAAAGGATAAAAAGTAGCCTATGTGATATATACCAATACACACAGCGCCATCTATACCAATACTTTTGTTTTCCCTCGGTAATATCAAATTTTTCTGGGGTAAAAAGTACCCTATTATTTAATCCAAACTTCTAACTTTACGTCTGCAAAAACTCAAAGCAATCGGTTTAGTAGTTAGGGCGTGAAAGCGGAACAAACAAACAAACTCACTTTCCAATTTATAATATTATATAATAAGGATTTAAACTGTCAAACACCAAGCGGTCACCGGTGACCGCAACCTATTGTTCTTTAATTGTGTCTATAATAACGGTGCTCGACGAGTTAATTGAATTGTAAAATATTTCAGCTGCAGAGCCTATTCTTTTCTTATAGGAAATACGAATAAATATATTATCTCTTATTACTAGTGTGATATTACAGTTGTAAACATATATTTTTGAATCACACTAAGCAGTTACGCAATCGGCGTGACCTTGAGACCCTACTGAGCCACGAGACCGTTTCAATTAAGTACCGTACTCGGCAATGCGTGTACGACGCAATTGTAAAATTGGGTGAGTCAATTGTTAATTCACGTCCTACTCAGTACATACAGTAACACCGAACTAAATAAATAAATTGAGTATTTTTAACGTCTTTAAGTATTGTTCGTGATGTTACTAAACATTACACATCTTTTATTCTTCTACTAGTTTTTGCCAGCGGCCTCGCCCGCGTTCACGTTCGAAAAGTCTATGTTTTATTCCAGATTATAATCTACATCTATTCCAAATTTCACATCGATACTTACAGCCGTTTTGACGTGAAGGAGTTACAAATAAATATACAAACTCATTCATAATATTAGTAGGATTAGGTTGGCAAAGATTAACTGAAAGTGCCATTTTAGCGAGATGTATTATTACTTATATTGTATAGAATTAGCTTAAACTGTTAAACATCGCGAGGACACCGGTGACCGCAACCTATTGTTCTTTAATTGTGTCTATAATGACGGTACTCAACGAGTGAAACTAATATTCCAAGGCTAATCACTACTGTTAATCTATTTACAAGAACAATGTTTATCAAAGCGTACAAAAAAGACAAATAATGTAGGTATATTTATCAAAAACCCGCGTGATAATATTAGTACATAATTCGTACAACACTTTATTAACATAAACACCACATGTTTTTATCTATCGTAGAATTTTTTGTTAAATTTAATAACAATATAGAGGCAAGAATTTGATCTCAACATCGTTTTTTCTACGTCTGTTTTAAACAGGTATGGTAGGCCTGTCTTAATTTAAAAATTCCTTTTTGATGTTACATCATGACATCGCCACGCCTATTTATCAAAGAAAGAGATGGAAATACTCTACTATTTACCATAATACCCATTCATCAAGTACCATTTTCCTCGATGTAAGGTTAAATTATACCTTTTGTCTTTCCATGGGTTATGTAATGTGCCATTTACGACACAAACAAACATACATGTGACTATTGACATTTTCGAAGTTAATCAGATATTGATAAAAAATATTATAAGCCTTGATAAACACGTTTATTAAAAACAAAACGTAGGTATTATATTTAGGTAACAATAACAACAACAAACGTGTCTGTCCAACAATATAACAACAGATCTAATGGTTCATTCATTCATTCATTCAATTCACATTATTCGGTGACTGAGTTGTGTACTCTCTGCAATGTGCGGAATAAACTTATTACTAGTGATAATAGTGTTATGTGGTTGTTTATACTATTACTTTACAAGGACGTTTAACTATTGGAAGAAGAGAAATGTTCGTGGACCAAAACCAACAGTCTTTTTCGGAAACATCAAAGATGCAGCTCTGCGAAACAAAAATCACGGCATTGTCATTCAAGAGATATACGACATGTTTCCGAATGAAAAAGTCGTTGGTATTTATAGAATGACGTCACCTACGCTACTGGTACGTGATTTAGATATAATCAAACATATCATGATCAAGGACTTCGATGCTTTCACTGATCGTGGGCTGGACTTCAGTAACCGAGGTTTAGGACAAAACTTATTCTTTGCTGATGGAGACACATGGACAGCTTTAAGGAGTCGATTTACCCCAATTTTTACAACGGGTAAATTAAAAAATATGTTTTATTTGATAAATGAAGGCGCCAATAATTTTGTGGATTATGTTAGCACTGAATGCCAAGTAAAAGAAGATTTTGAAGTGGTCTCCCTTCTTCAAACATACACGTTATCTACGATCTCATCCTGTGCCTTTGGAATTAGTTATGATAGTCTAAATGATAAAGTAGAGACACTAAAAATTGTTGACAAAATACTTGCGAGACCTAGTCATGCACTTGAATTAGATATGCTGTATCCAGGACTTTTAAAGTCGCTTAACTTATCCATCTTTCCAAGAGAAGTACAACAATTTTTCAAAAATCTTGTGGATCTCATAATCACTCAGAGGAATGGGAAACCTTCGAACAGGAACGACTTCATGGACTTAATACTCGAACTTCGTGAAATGGGAGAAATAAATAGCACGAAACATGGAAACACTGCGAAGCCAATTGAAATAACTCCAGAAGTAATAGCGTCACAAGCTTTTACATTTTACGTAGCTGGCTATGAAACCAGTGCTACTACAATGTCGTACATGCTTTACCAACTAGCAATGAATCCAGACATTCAAAATAAGTTAAGGGCAGAAGTTGACAAAATAACCCAAGCTAATAATGAAGAAATAACATACGAAACCATTAAGGAAATGAAATATCTGAGCAAAGTCTTTGATGAAACTCTGCGAATGTATTCGATTGTGGAACCTCTGCAGAGAAAAGCTACAAGAGACTACCAGGTACCTGGAACTGACCTGGTAATAGAGAAAAACACGATGGTACTCGTATCCCCGAGAGGTATACACTATGATGAGAAATATTACGATGATCCTGAAGTATTCAACCCTGACAGATTCGCCCCGGAGGTGGCGGGCAACCGCCATCCGTGCGCTTACTTACCGTTTGGAATTGGACAACGAAATTGTATCGGTAAGTAAATACAAACTCGATAAGAATTTGGGCTTCATTAATTTAATATATCGACCATTGACCTGGTGACGGTTAACAGATATTCACAGCGTAAATAGATATATGTATATACATAATAAGACTATATATAAATTATGTATGAATATATGTAGTATTTTGTTTGCTTTACCATTTACTACATTAGGTAAAATAATATAAAAAAGCAGTGGCTTTATATTAGTGAATATGATAAGCATCTGCCTATGTAATTGAAATAGGCTTCCTGGAGATAGCTTTTATGACAAAATGCTATAGGTACCTATTGTTGCGAACGAAGTTTTGTAGTTCTATATGTATAACATACTAGCTTCTGCCCGCGACTTCGTAATCACAATCCCGTTTTCTCCCGTTCTCGTAGGATTTTTATGATTTTTTTCTGTCATAAGAACCTTCTCCTGACAATAACAAACACAACAAAAAAAATCAGCCAATTCGTTCTCAAGTTATGGCGTGACAACGGAAAACGGGTTTCATTTTTATTTATATAGCCTTATTACCTACTACTAATTGACCTTAACAATAAGATTAATGAATGGAAACATGATATGACGTCATATCCAAAGTTTCAATCCCACGAAATAAAATTACTAATCGTATTATTTATTTTTAAGGTATTCGGTTTGGAAAACTGCAGTCTCAACTGTGCATAGCGAAGATTTTATCTAAGTTTGAAGTGGAACCTTCGAAGAATACACCAAAGAAGTTAGAAGTGGAACCAGACAGGGTTCTCATTGGACCAAAAGGGGGAATACGTCTGAAATTAGTGCCAAGAAAAATTAAGACGTAGATTAAAGAAGAAATAAGGTCGATTTTTAAGCCTGCTTCATACGGCGGGTTACAAGAGCAACTGTCGAGCATGGGGTCTCGGGCTAAATTTTCCAAGCTAAGCAAATTATTATTGGGCCTTTAAAAATCCAGCTCAGCCTTTGCTGAGCATATTGAGCTGAGCTTTCAGCCGTCTTGTTGTTTACCTCTAATATCATAATAGCCTGGACCCTGAAATCGTGATATGTCTTCTGCCTATTCTTAAATATAACAAGAGACTCGTCCGTAATTGGCAAAAAGTGAAGGTTAAAATATAATACGAATTCGAAGAATTACTATACTGTAATATTGTGTACCTATATTTCGTTATATACATATAGTTTACGGCACAATATTATAAATTTTAATTTGTACTTTAGTTTGCAGAATAAATAAGCTATTTTGTAGTGTTGTTGTTTTATATCAAAATCAAAATAAACCGATGTAATTATATCTAGACGCTGTTAATAAATAATAACAAATAGTTTTGTTAAAAATACAAAGTGCATTTAATAGTAAATTCTTAACACAAAATGTTTTAAAATAATAAAACAAACTGAGTAATCGAAACCTTTTGAGAGGTTGTATTCTTAGAAAAAAGTATTATTATCTATTTATATACTTTGACAAAACCTGTGAATAATGTCGCATTGTTGTTCATTGATATTACTTAGTTTTTAGTATATGTATTGTATTTCTGCATACATTAATCTTAAATTTTGTAAAACTAAGTTACATTCTCAGCTAATACAATAAATAACAATAGTATAAGTAACTTATGAAGTTTCTACAACAATAAAAGAGTTTTGTAATACATAGTTGATTATTTTTCTTTCAAGTCTAAAGAACACAATCTATTGAAGTTCTGAGTGCATTCCTATAGTATAGATATATCAAACACTACTAAAGAGCAGACAATGAAAGATACAATTCGTCTATTTCGCAACAAAATGATTGCAAACAAAGTGATTATAAGTGTCGCGTAGCCATCCACATAGTAGCAAAATGTTACATAAAAAGATAATTGCGAATGTCACAGAGATTCAAAAACTCACTAAAATCAACAAGTCTTCGCCATTTGCTTCAAACAGCGAATAGGCATTACAATATCACGTAATACAAAGCTATTATCTCTGAACTGTAGTTAACTTAAAACAAATTTGGTGATAACGCACACTAACACTGATAACATTATATAAAAATATTAACACTATCATAATCAAATGTATCTCTTCGTATATAAAGTGATGTTTCACGAAATCGCTAACTCATAACACATTTTTCACTAATTGTGTTAGGAGCTTCAAAAATGTCGTTCCTTTATATTGCTGCCGGATTAAGCGCATTAGTTTACGCGTTGTACTATTACTTCACAAGAACATTCAACTACTGGAAGAGCAGAAATGTTCCCGGACCGGAACCAATCCCGTTCTTCGGGAACATCAAGGAATCAGTTCTACGGCAGAAGAATATAGGCATCATAATACATGATATATATAAGGCCTATCCAAACGAGAAAGTGGTTGGACTTTTTAGAATGACTTCTCCTTGCCTCCTCATCCGAGATTTGGACATTGTTAAACATATTATGATCAAAGACTTCGAGGTGTTCACTGACCGTGGAGTGGACTTCAGCAAAGAAGGACTGGGACAAAATTTGTTCCACGCTGATGGAGAAACATGGACAGCTTTGAGAAATAGGTTCAGTCCCATTTTCACCACAGGTAAATTGAAAAACATGTTTTACTTAATGAATGAAGGAGCTGACTCATTTGTGGACTACGTTACTACAGAATGTCAAACAAGACAAGAGTTTGAAGTGCACCTTCTCCTGCAATCGTATACTGTATCTACTATTTCCGCCTGTGCCTTTGGAGTTAGTTATGACAGCCTCCAAGACAAGATGGAAGCCTTGAAAATTGTAGATCAAGTTATTTCATCACCAAGTTACATCGTCGAGTTAGACTTTATGTACCCAGGACTCTTACGATCACTTAACCTTTCTCTTTTCCCGAAAGTGGTGCTGCATTTCTTCGCAAATCTTGTTGACAATATTATTTCTCAGAGGAATGGTAAACCATCAGGACGAAATGATTTCATGGACCTCATACTAGAACTTCGTCAAAAGGGAGAAGTAGAAAGTACCAAATACGGACACAGTGGCAAGACTCTAGAAATAACGTCAGACGTGATTGCGGCGCAAGCTTTTGTATTTTATGTGGCTGGGTATGAGACTAGTGCAACCACTATGGGCTACATGTTGTACCAACTAGCGTTGAATCCAGACATCCAAAAGAGGTTGACCGAGGAGATTGATGAATCACTGAAAGCAAACAATGGACAAATAACATACGACACTATTAAAGAAATGAAGTACTTAAACAAAGTATTTGATGAAACTCTACGAATGTATTCGATTGTGGAACCTCTACAGAGGAAAGCTGTAAGAGAATACAAAGTTCCCGGTACTGACTTGACAATAGAAAAGGACACGATAGTACTTGTATCTCCGAGAGGAATTCACTATGATGAAAAATATTACGACAACCCTGAAGTATTCAACCCTGACAGATTCGACCCGGAGGTGGCGGGCAACCGCCATCCGTGCGCCTACTTACCATTTGGAATTGGACAACGAAACTGTATCGGTAAGTAATGTGTTACTTTCTTAAATACTTCTTCTTGAATATTAGAACCAAAGTGTTAATACTCTTAGCGTAGATTTTTTATTAATAATTTATTTATCAAATATGTTTATCGTATAATTAAACAAGTACATAAGAAAACTAGATCCCGTTGGCATTTTGTGTATTAAAATTGGCTTTTGAATCGAAAATTATAATGATCATCACCTTCAGTAATATCTTGCAGATGCCAATGTGTTAGTGAAATCACTCACCAAAACATGTTATCTATATTTTCAGGCATGCGGTTTGGCAGACTTCAATCTCAACTATGTATAACGAAGTTGTTGTCCAAGTTCCAAGTGGAGCCGTCTAAGAATACCGCTAGAAACTTGGAGGTGGAACCTCACCGCGGTATCATCGGGCCAAAGGGAGGAATCAAATTAAATGTTGTTCCGAGAAAGATAAAATCTTAAAAACCTATTGGATTCCAACCGGAAAATATGATAAAACCCTCCATAAATAAAAACCGAAATATATCCAGAATCGTGTCTGTATAAAAGAAAATATGTATAGGACTAATATAATGGTTTGAAGTCAGTCTTACAATTTATTCTGAAATCGTCAGTGGTTGAAGTGAAAGGTATAGGTAAAGTAAAAGTTTTACTTGATTATTATACTTATACCAAAATTCTGAAAAAAACAATGCATCTCTATTTAGATGAGCCACGATTTTGTAAAGTGATTATACTGGGACGAAACACCATAATAAACCCAGAAAACGCAGCCTTCTTTTGGCGTCTAAACATTCCTTTGGAAATTAGATTTTTTAAGTATGTACCTAGTGTATGTGTTTGGAAATACCTATGTACTATGTACAGAAAAACGAAGAATTACCACAAGTCATTATTACGTTAGGTGTGGTTATCAAACAAGGTATATATTGGATGTAGTAATCCGACCAGATTATGAGACTGACAACGTGAAAAGATAAGTTGATAAGTTTGCAACAATGTATGTATAGAATGGAACCGAAACATATTATCTAATCGTTGATTATTTAATGTTCTGATTATAACGTGTGTGTATGATACTATTAGATTTATAGTACTTTACTGGTTTAGGGAAAATTGTACCTTATGCTATAAACTTTATGTTTCAAATTCCAAAGAAACCATTGCAGCTATTGTAAATATTTAGTTTTTAACTTTTGTGATGGTATATGCCTAAATTCTATATTATAAATTATATAATAAAACTTATACAAAAATTACTTTATTTGTATATGAAATGTCCTTGACCACCTTTTTGATCGGATAGAATTGGGAAGGGGTACTGCTGAGTATTAGGTCTGATAGGGTTGCCAACTTTTTTTAGAAGAAATAGAGTATATCTGATTTCAAAAGAAGTAAATAAGGAGTAAGAACTTACAGAAAAGAGTATCATTTAAAAAAAAATCGTTTATTTCGCAGCACATAATTATTTTTTCTTGTAAAATAAAAAAAACAGTAATTATTATAATAGGTTAGTCTATAGCTTGATAGGTAGGCTAATGCACGATGTCCATACCAAACTTCATTCGATTCGGTCCAGTGCTTTTACAACAGAGTGGTATTGTGTCAAAATTTTAAATATCGGAATAGTTTTAAAAATAATTAATATCAAATTTCACTGAACTAAATTATTTTGTTAATGATCACTTATGATTTTTTTTTATGGCGTAAACCGGTAAACGAGCAGACGGATCACCTGATGGTAAGCAATCGGCGTCGCCCATGGACACTTGGAACACCAGAGGCGTTACAAGTGCGTTACCGGCTTTTTGGGGATTAGGAGTTTGAGGATCGTTGGGAATTCAGGGATTATGGAGATTAGAGAAGGGGAGAGTAATTGGGCCTCCGGTAACCTCACTCACACGACGAAACACAACGCAAGCGTTGCTTCACGTCGGGTTTCTGTGAGGCCGTGGTATCACTCCGGTCGAGCCAGCCCATTCGTGCCGAAGCATGGAATGATGCTCTCAACCTAAAAAAAGTCTTTGGACCACCGTAAATGGGCCACTCTGTATTAACTTTAAATATGTAGTAGACATTTTATTCTGATCATGGGTATTTGCATATTATTACAGACTGGCACTAGTTAAGTAAACATTGTGGAAAAAGGAGTACCTATTTTAGCGTACTCTATTAGTGTTTAAGATTATAGAGTAGGTACGCCTACATCATAAAGAGGACAATATTTTATTTAAGAGTACGGTTGGCAACCGTACTTATGACCTAGGTCTAAGGTATGAGATACAGTCTTCACAGTTAATTGGTACATCATCATCATAACATCACGCCTTTTATCCCCGAAGGGGTAGGCAGAGGTATTCATTATGCCACTGTAAATTGTAACACCCACTCTTCACTATTTATGTTATGAGTCCCATGTAAATGGGGGTGAGCCTATTGCCATATACCGAGCACAATTCCAAACTCCGTGCTCATACTGTTTTTTTTAAAAAACCCAGTAATACTTTGCCCGACCCGGGAATCCAACCCGAGACCCCTTGCCCGGCAGTCACGCTTGCGACCACTCGGACAATTGGTACACAGGTACAAAAATAAGATTGATTCAATACAAGACTGTATCTACATCAAGTATGTGTGTAATTGTTCCCATGATTGTAGATTCTTAGAGCTTGCTAGCGTATTTTCAATAAGTTCGCCTTCTTTAAAATACAAGAAAAGATTGGACAGACCACATATTTAATGAGTAATGTCCACAATAATTTTAAATTCAAAGTAAAAAGACAGAAATAATTATAATTAAATTATTGTTTTCACGAAAATTGGCCAATTACAAGCATAACATCATAACATCACGCCTTTTAGCCCTAAAAGGGTTAGCAGAAGTGCACATTACGGCAATGTACAATGTAAAACCCACTTTTCGCAGTTTTTATTTTATTATTTTATCATTTTCTGTGTAAAGCTACATAGATTGGTTTTGTCACTTATAATCTATGCAGGTGCAAAGTTCTAATCAATACAAATTATACAAAGCCCAAACACAAGGTAGTTACTGTATACCGTTAAGGAAATTTCCTTAACAATTACACTTCTTCATGATCAGACCCTTAATGGCAGCCCCACTCTATCTAGGTGTAAAATCTTCATCAATATAAATTAATCAAGCCCAAACACAATGTAGTTAATATAAACTGCTAAAGAGTTCTCTCGACTGTCTGTCGGTTCCATCATCAGGTCGACTCCAGACCCTTATCAAATTTTAGAGCTTAAAGATCCTAATTAAAAAACATAATAGACGCATTACTCGCCCCTAGCATTTTCGAAAGTTCCCTTCGGTTTCCGTAGGATACCATCATCAGATCCTGACCTCATTGAAATGGAACCATCTCGGAAGTATACCCTTTCAAACAAAACAGGAATTTTGGAAATAATCAGCGAAACAAACAAAAAAAAACAATCAGCCGAACATGGTACCTCCTCCTTATTTTGGAGTCGGTAAAAATAGACATACAGAAAAAGTGACTTTGTTTTATATTATGTAGTGATAGTATTAATCTGACAGCGATATTAACTAATCAACAAAATATTCTTCCAATTATATCATGCCCAAGATCGCCGAGTCATCTGAAGTAAGCAAGCAGGACTTTGGCCAGACACAACCACAGTCAGATTTGTTTATATTTCACTCGAATTTCCATTAGCTTACGTATGGACGAATCTTTGTCTGTCTAAGTGTGGGAGAGCCATGCTTCAGCACGAATGGGCCGGCTCGACCAGAGTAATACCACGGCCTCACAGAAGACCGACGTGAAACAACGCTGGCGTTGTGTTTCGTCGTGTGAGTGATATTACAGAAGGCCCAATTAGAAATTAGCATTACCTTTATCAATTTGTATAGTGTTATTAATTCTGTTTCAAAACTAACGAAAAGTATTAATATTTCTATTTGCTAAACATACTGTTTGTAAATAAGTTAGGCTTGTCTATGTACATGCATGACGCATGCACATGTACAAATGCATAGCGCTTTTGCAAGCGCGCAGTAATACCAACGGCATTCTAAACACGTTGTTTAGAATGATTAAAGACAGCTTTTAGACAATGTCTGGTAGAATATCCAGACATATAAATAAATTAAGTCTTGACTGTGGACTTCATTTGTACACAGTACACATTGAGATCATTCGAACCTACCACATATATACATACATAACTTCACGCCTGTCTCTCATGGGGTTTTTTTTTAAGTTGGGAATATCATCGAATGACTGCTCCCGCCTGGGTGAGGCGGGAGGGAGTGTCAGACTCTGACTGACTAAAAACCACCCCGTTCCTTCTCCTGCACGTCGAGCCGGAGCCCCGGTTACCCGTTAGGTTCTCCAGGCAGAGACTAGGTAACGCCAATTACTACGATTCTTACATACCTCTTTCGCTTCATCAACAGCCATTAATCTTTGCATACATATATCTCAGTCTCTAAATAAAAATCAGGATCATATTTTCATGTTTCAAACATAAAGATCTGATGAACGATGTTGATTTATATATTTTAATGTTATATGACGTACCTAACTGGGCATAGATACAGTAAAGTAGCAAATAAGCATGATTATCAAAAATGAACGTTCATTCTTATTATAAATATTATCGATATGCAAAACTGAATATATAATGCAAAAAATGAAATATACCACATTATACCTACACCACCTAAAAGTTGCCAACTCATTTAGAATTCTTAAGATAACACACACGAGGAGTCGAACAAAATGTAGTAACGTGATTATCCTAATCAAGTTTTCGGTTCGCATATAAATCGTCGAGTTATTTACAAATCATTCATAAGTGTTCGGACCGAGTGTTTGGCCAGTCACAACCATGTCGGCATTATATTTCCTCGCGGCAATCCCAGTGTTAGCTTACGCTGTTTATTATTATTTTACGAGGACATTCAACTATTGGAAGAGTAGAAATGTTGCCGGACCAGAACCAACTGCATTTTTTGGAAACATCAAGGAATCGGTTGTTCGCACAAAAAATATTGGCATTGTAATGCATGACATCTACAAAGCATTTCCAAATGAAAAAGTGGTCGGTATGTTCAGGATGACTTCACCTTGTCTCCTTATCCGAGACCTGGACATAGTCAAACATGTCATGATCAAAGACTTTGAAGCCTTTAGTGATCGTGGAGTGGAATTCAGCAAAGAAGGATTGGGACAAAACTTATTCCACGCTGATGGAGAAACATGGACAGCTTTGAGGAACAGATTCACCCCCATTTTCACAACTGGTAAATTGAATAACATGTTTTACTTGTTAAACGAAGGAGGTGATTCATTTATAGAGTACTTTATTACTGAATGCCAAAAGAAACAGGAATTTGATATCCAGCCTCTCCTCCAGACATACACCATGTCCACGATCTCTGCCTGTGCATTTGGTATTAGTTATGACAGTCTTGATGATAAATTGGAGACTCTGAAACTTGTCGACAAATTATTTTCATCTCCAAGTTATGCATTTGAGTTGGATATGATGTATCCAGGACTCCTGAAAGCACTCAACCTTTCGTTATTCCCTTCATCTATACAAAAGTTCTTCGAAAATCTAGTGAAAACTGTTATTGCGCAAAGAAATGGTAAACCATCAGGTCGACATGATTTCATGGACCTTATTTTGGCACTCCGTGAAATTGGAGAAGTCTCAAATGCAAAACATGACTCTGCGAAGCCTGTGGAAATAACACCCGAGGTGATGGCAGCACAAGCGTTTGTATTTTATGCCGCTGGCTATGAAACCAGTGCTACTACGATGACGTTCATGCTTTACCAACTAGCAATGAATCCAGATATTCAAAATAAGTTAAGGGCAGAAATCGACGAAGTTATACAAGCAAATAATGGACAAGTAACATACGAGTCTATTAAGGAAATGAAGTACCTAAACAAAGTATTTGATGAAACTCTACGAATGTACTCAATTGTGGAACCTCTTCAGAGTAAAGTGGTAAGGGATTACCAAGTACCCGGTACTAACCTGACTTTGGAAAAGTACACCATTGTACTTATATCCCCAAGAGGCATACACTACGATGAGAAATATTATGATAACCCTGAACAGTTCAACCCTGACAGATTTGACCCGGAGGAGGTGGGCAAGCGCCATCCGTGTGCTTACTTGCCATTTGGACTTGGACAGAGAAACTGCATCGGTAAGTAATATAACATTTTAATCTGTATACAATATTTACAGAACC